AGAACAGTCTTTGGTTGAATTTCTTATATAGCATTTGGCCGTGCTCATGCCATGTTAGCTTATTATTAATGGTGACACCTAAGTACTTGTATGCCTCCACTTTCTTCACATTTTGATTTTTTATGTTGAGATCTGTAATCTGGTGTTTCCCCCTCCTGAAATCAACAACCATTTCTTTTGTTTTTCAGACTTTCAACTGGAGAAAATTTGCATCACACCAATTGATAAAGCTTGTAACTAAGTTGCTGTATAAGCCTTCTCCTTCAGATATTAAGCCAACAATGGTGGTATCATCAGCAAATGTTAAGACTGGAATGGTGTCGCTTGAGCTTTGAATATCATTTGTATAAGGGCCGTTCATAAAGTATGTCACGCTCCAGAGAGGGGGGGAGGGAAAGGGGTGTAAGAAAGTGTGACAGTTTGTGACAGGGAGGAGGGGGTCAGGCCATGTGTGACGTCACACATTTATTTGTAAAAATTTTATTTCTAATTTATTTTTTATTTTTTTAGTAGAATTTAATAGCTTAAAAATAATTTTCAAAAATTTTGTGAAACATTTGAATTAGTTCTATGTCAAAATAGCATGAAATGCGTATCTCCTGAATGTGTTGTTCACGATTCCTCTCGCTAGGAGCGCTAGTAACTTTTCTACTATTAAAGTCATTTTTATAATGTGATAGTTCTTTTAAGTGGAAATTTTATATTTCAATACAGTTTAATAGTGAAGTGTGTTTTAGATTAAATTTTAATTACTGGTAGTTGTTAATTAAAAAAAAAAATGGTTGGAAAATGTGACGTACTTTAGAGGGGGGGGGGGTGTCTGAGATTTGGGACAGTTTGTGACAGGGGGGAGGGGGGTTAAAAATGGGAAAAAAATTAATTACTGGTAGTTGTTAATTAAAAAAAAAAATGGTTGGAAAATGTGACGTACTTTAGAGGGGGGGGGGTGTCTGAGATTTGTGACAGTTTGTGACAGGGGGGAGGGGGGTTAAAAATGGTAAAAAAATAGTGTGACATACTTTATGGATGGCCCCATATATTGTATACAGTACAGGAGAGAGAACGCAGCCTTGTGGTGCCTGGTGCTTATTTCTCTGGTTAGAGATAATTGGTTATTTACTTTGACATATTGTGGTCGATTTGTTAAAAAGTTCAGTATCCAAGCCCAAATATTTAAATGGACACCTAACGAGAAAAGTTTCTTATCATAAGGTTTGGTTGGATAATGTTAAATGCTGATGAGAAGTCTAAGAAAAGCACTCTGGCATATGTTTTAGGACTGTCTAGGTGATGGTCTCTCCAACAATAATAAGATTGCATCCTCCGTACTTCTGGCAGGTTTGCAATGCCACCCAATGAAGAAAGTGTTTGTGTTTTAATTACGTTTTTGAAGTAATTTTTAAATAGAAAATATTTTTTGTTTTTTCCATCTGGTGCGTAATCAAATAAATTAGAAGGTTTTTTCGACACGTGAACAGGGCACATACAGCTGTCCATGTGAGAAGCATGCATTTTCAATAGTTAGTCCATACACTTGTAGCGACTGATCTACCCATTCACCCATGCAATAGCTCTGTTTGAAATTATATGTGTATAGCTTCTATAAGAAAAAATAATTTGCGGGCTTGCGCACAACAATTTACCAAAATTTTATCGCAATCAGATGAATGGTAATAATAATAATAAAGCTTATTTGAAATTCATGCTTTATCCCCAAAGGCTCGAAGCATGGTTACAAAGTCATCCATATTAAAAGAGAAATGAAAAAATCCATATTTTACCACTTTGAAATACAAAACGCAACATTACAAAAACTACATACGAGAATACCCATTCTAAGTCTTTCATCCCTTGCAACCATAAACAAAATAGGCCACTATACATCTAGGAGATAATTGCTAGCTGGAAAAGATGGTAGACAACATCACCCCAACAGGTTTTTGCGAAATAGATATGTTTTCAAATCGGTTTTGAAAGACTCCAGTGTCTGGCTGTTTCTGAGAGCGACAGGAAGTGTGTTCCAAATAAATAGTCAAGTAAACTGCCATGTATACAGCCAAGTAAACAGCAAAGTATACAGGCAAGCAAACAGTAAATTATGCAGCCAAGTAAAATTCTATATCATTCAAGCTACCGTACTGACAAACATTTATCCATAATTTCACATCAGTAATTGCATTTTAAACATAGTTACAAATACAACAAACAATAATAAAGAACAGTAACAAAACTTCATTTTAAATACATTTGTTTAGGAATGAGCAATTCTATTTCTATAAGGCTAGCCACAATCAATCCCTCCCCCTGAACTAACTTTGAGTTGAATAAATGTCGTTAATAAAGAAAAAATTCCATATGAGATTTTAAATGAGAGTGAACTTTTCTAAGTAAATGACCCAGGACAAATTTTGTCATTCTTTCTATAGGGTTTAATTTTGTTGACATCAATTGATGTAAAGTCCATAAATTCCCAGAAGTCAGTATGATGCCCAAATCTGGACTTTCAGATTCTATAGCATTAGCACATGAACAAACATCCAGTAATGAGAATCATTTGACATCCTAATGATGGTGTAAAAATAGTTTGAACCAAAATCACATTTTAAAAGGAAAAATATTAGTATTAGGGTATGGTCAGGAAATTCATCTCCCATAATTTATAATAGTCAATCCGAAAATTTTATTAAATTAAATTGGTTGACAAGACAATGCAGCCTTTTCCAACATAAATTGCAATAGAGATTGGATAAAACTATTTAATGACAAATTATCCTAACTGAATGTACATGATCAGCCCTAACATGGCAAGGGTTAAATGTGTATTTATTGGATGAAATGTCAGTGACATGATCAACTCTGCCATGGCAAGGTTTACATGTGTATTTATTGGATGAACTATGATACATTTTAAAAAGTTTACTTAAGTAGTAAATTTCCAGACCTTAATGCTTGTTTTTGAGAGAAGTGGACTGCACACAAATAAAACTGACATAAAATTAAAAAAATGGTTGATAAAATCAACAAAAAAGCTCAATGCTGTAGGCCTATATATCAAAATTAGTTTGGAGATAAGCTTAGACAATTTCTGTAGAAAAATTCAACTTTTGAACATTTTGTTTTGGTGGAAAAATGAACATCAAACTCCAAATGCTCAGTGTTAGGAAATAAGTTAGTTTTTTTAAGGTTCTCTACAGTAAATGTAGGTTCCAGATGAGCAAAACATCTGATAATTCTCATGGAGTACTGAGTTCTGAGAATTGCTTTCTTAATTAACCTGCATTTGATTAGTTAAAACCAATCCCCTCTGGAAGCTTGAAAGCAGAATTCAGAGACAGTTCATGAAATATGTCCCGTCATTTTTAAAATCTCAGCAGCCACAGTAGATAAGGCTATATCTGCATGTGAGCTGGAAAATTTGAATTGTGATAAATAATTAGTCACAAATTAATCATTAATCATTAATTAATCATTAATTGTACAGAGATGCAAAATTGTATAATTTAAATCATATTTTAACAGTGAGCGGAAAAAAAGTCAAAGGAAAAAAGTCACAGAAAAATCAGCCATCTGATATCATAAGTAAATACTGACAAGATTGGGGAACAAATGAATTTATATATCTTTCGGTCCGACCACAATTCCATGGTGACAATAATGAGTTTTAGTGTGGTTACAGGTATGTGATTGTACAACAGCAGGGGGAACCACCTTGGTAATGTCTGACGAGATTGGGGAACAAAAGATTTTTATATCTTTCTGTCCAAAGCCTGATTGACACACCCCCCCTCATTACCATTGACCACATTGATGCCCTTGATGCTTTGTCTGAATAGAGTTATCAGTAAACTAGTACTAAAATGTAATGTCCCTTGCTTTCATTTGGATCCTTTACTATGTTAGATGTGTCGGTGAGATAAGACGCGAGAATCAAATGACCAATGGCTTACTACCATTTATTGTTATTCAATCTGTAATATTCGTGTTTATTGGCTTTAAGCATAACATTAACAATGTAAATAGTTTTGACTAATGCATATTAAATGTGTGATTATAATATGTATACTTAATACAAATAACAAACACACGCATGTATAACTGAGTAAAAATAAATCATATTATTAAATGTGTGAATTAAAATGTATATGTATAATATAAATTAGAAACACATATTTAATCCAAAATGAGAATCGAAACATGATCCGAATAAGCTACTGCTATTTTTTATTTTCTGTTTTTCAGTAAATAAACATATATATGGACTTTGTGACTTTTTTCCAACAATCATTAAAAAAAATTTACCTACAAATATCTTTTTAAATATTTCTTTATGTACATGTCTTGGAAGGAAGAAGGTTTATATCTCTTGACCAGTCTAGTTGAACATTATCATGTGATTTTAACATGGGACATTGCACTCATTATATCTATAACCAAAAAATGGGCTGAGTGAAATTTAATGATGCAGATTAAAATTGTTATGTAGGTAAAGAAATCTTTCAATTTAAAATGTACATGTCAAGAAATTAAATTATTTTACGTATAGATAGATTCTGCAACTATTTTGCATCTTTGTTATTAAAAAAAATCTTTGAATCGACAGTATAAGTGTAAGATGGGTGCCATATAATTTAAACACATTGCTTCCTGGTGAGTAAGAACCAAATATATGTTTGTCCAAAAATATGTTTGCTTGACTCCATGAAATAAATATAAAAGTTAACGTTAATTAACTAAAAGAACTTTATTTTAATTTTACATTATCTGTAGTGTGAGGTGAAGTGGAACAGAATCCTGTGGCATGAGATAATTGGGTGGTTGGATTTCCTGCTAGCCAGCCACATTAGTTAGATGAGAACATATGGATATTAATTTTTTGGGGTCAAATTTGACACTAATTAAAAGCTTGAAAATTCAAAACTTTTTTTTTCATAACTAGATGTTATTTTCATTGTCTGTAATAAAAATCATATTGGTGAAATTTCTATATCCGGTTTCATTTCTCACCTTGCTGTATCTGCTAAAGACTGAATCGTTTTTGCAAGTCCATCTCCATATTTCTTCATGGACTCTATGTGTCTAGCATTGGTGCTTAGCAACCGTTTGATGACGCGAAGGAGGATTTTTTGCTTTCTTGAATCTGTAGACTTCAAGCTCTTGCTGTAACAATCCTGGAAAAAAAAGTTGACAAGTAAAGTAAAAGTAAATTCTTATCAAGTGGCAAAAAAGTTGCCTGAGAAGATGTAAACATCAGTGCCCGGTATTGCAAAATGCTCCTTGGCATTTATGACATCAAAGTCATTGGTTTATTTTTTTTTTTAGCACTGGAAAAATAAAGTGTATCAATGTATTAAATAAAGTCACAGCTCTTTCATCGTGTATCGGTATTTAGTTAAATTATTTGCACCTATTGTTTTACTTACTTTTCTTTTTATTCCAACTCGGTTGTAATAAAAAATAAAATTTGAATTTAGTCATTCCTTGCATTTAATGTTTACTCAAAATAGCCTTGTAGTCCAAACCTTGAACTTAGCAATTTTTCTCACCTAACTAAAGTTTCACTTTACTCTGATATACACAAATTGTCAAATAGTAGTTTAATTTTATTATCAGCTGCCATGATGAACAACTGACCTTATTATCAACAGACATAATGAACAACTGACCTTATTATCAACAGACATAATGAACAACTGACCTTATTATCAACAGACATAATGAACAACTGACCTTATTATCAACAGACATAATGAACAACTGACCTTATTATCAACAGACATAATGAACAACTGACCATATTATCAGCTGCCATGATGAACAACTGACCTTATTATCAACAGACATAATGAACAACTGACCATATTATCAGCTGCCATGATGAACAACTGACCTTATTATCAACAGACATAATGAACAACTGACCTTATTATCAACAGACATAATGAACAACTGACCTTATTATCAACAGACATAATGAACAACTGACCATATTATCAGTGGCCATGATGTACAACTGACCATATTATCAGCTGCCATGATGAACAACTGACCATATTATCAGCTGCCATGATGAACAACCGACCATATTATCAGCTGCCATGATGTACAACTGACCATATTATCAGCTGCCATGATGAACAACTGACCATATTATCAGCGGCCATGATGTACAACTGACCATATTATCAGCGGCCATGATGAACAACTTACCATATTATCAGCTGCCATGGCATCTCTGTTTTCTCCACCAAACAACTGCACAAGTAAAGACAGACATTTGATGGTCAGCTCCTGGATCTCATTATCCTCATAGCAAAGCTGGGGGAGGGGGTGGGGGGAAGAATAATCATTTAGAATTAAGTTTGAAATATTATAAAAAATTGTGGAAATGAATTCATTTTATAATGCTGCTAAACATTAAGGTTAAACTTGAAACTAAATCAGCACAAAAAGAATATAAGAAGAACAGGGAAGTCAATTAAACAATGCACAAAATATCAATAAAGAATAGACAGTAAGGGAATACAAAGTGTAATATAAGAAACTTGAAAATAAAATTTAATTTTAATATGTTTCCATATCTCTTAATTATCAAAATTCTTATTTAAAAATTATGTCAACTTATCGCTCACCAACTGAGTTAACAGAGACGTTAAGTCTGTAAGTGATTTGTTCAACAGCAGTAACTGCTCACCAAACTCTGCCTCCTTCTGAGACCCGTCTGATCCTTTGTTCTTCACCTGGAAAGTTTGTGTACATAAAAATGTAAGAGAAAACTGCTAATTCTAATTAAGTAATAGTCTAAGTGGAAAGTTAAACAAATTCTGATGTTCAAACTCACAATTGGTAGCAATGTTTTGATTCATAATTCATAAAGACCCCCCCCCCCCAAATTTAAATAAACCTGACGAATTTAAAAAAATTTCTTTTCTAACATTTACCCTTTGAACTTGAATAATTAAAAAATAATAAAGTTAAAAAAATTCTGATGTTCAAACCCCCAATTGGTAGCAATGTTTTGATTCATAATTAAAAAAGACCCCCCCCCCCCAAATTCAATAAACCTGACGAATTTAAAAAAATTTCTTTTCTAACACTTAACCTTTGAACTTGAATAATTTAAAAATAAGCCCTACTATTAATAAATTCAACTATTTGAAGTTAATGTGTATTCAGTGTGAAAACACCAAACCTGTAATGCTCTGCGAACAACCTCAGAGACATATTTCAGTATGGAATGGAGAGCATCCAAAAGTGTCAGCAGCATGTTTATAGCTGTCTTCACATCTCTTCCTCCCTCCTCCCCTTCACAAACAGCATTCCACACCTCGATGAATAGACTGGTCAAGTGGTCAATTAGACCTGGTGTTGGAGAATGCAGAGAATGGACAAGAACATTCAAAGGAAACATGACTTAAAATGATTTCTTTCAGATTTATATATTTATTCTCCTTTTGAATATTTAACATTTTTATAAATTGTATGTACTCTTTTTAAGAAATTTAAAATAAAAGAGATTATTAACTGGTTTACTACTAGTATTACTGATGTATTGTATAGCTTTCATTGTTTGAGTGCCATGCTGAACTTATTCCCTCTTTGGATGTGTACCAGTACAGTAAATAAACAAATATGATCATGAGGTTGGAAAAGGAAAGAAGAAAACATTTATGAGCAAGCACTTATCTTGAGAAAGCAGCTCTTAAACTAAATCCCCACTATAAAAAAAATCCAATAAAAACTGAGTGCCCAAAGAATAGTTTCCATAAATACAGCAAAACTAATAAACCAACAGTAATTGTGACTTGACAGCTATGCCAACCAACAGTAATTGTGACTTGACAGCTATGCCAACCAACAGTAATTGTGACTTGAGAGCTATGCCAACCAACAGTAATTGTGACTTGACAGCTATGCCAACCAACATTAATTGTGACTTGACAGCTATGCCAACCAACAGTAATTGTGACTTGACAGCTATGTCAACCAACAGTAATTGTGACTTGACAGCTATGCCAACCAACAGTAATTGTGACTTGACAGCTATGCCAACCAACAGTAATTGTGACTTGACAGCTATGCCAACCAACAGTAATTGTGACTTGACAGCTATGCCAACCAACATTAATTGTGACTTGACAGCTATGCCAACCAACAGTAATTGTGACTTGACAGCTATGCCAACCAACATTAATTGTGACTTGACAGCTATGCCAACCAACAGTAATTGTGACTTGACAGCTATGCCAACCAACATTAATTGTGACTTGACAGCTATGCCAACCAACAGTAATTGTGACTTGACAGCTATGCCAACCAACATTAATTGTGACTTGACAGCTATGCCAACCAACAGTAATTGTGACTTGACAGCTATGCCAACCAACATTAATTGTGACTTGACAGCTATGCCAACCAACAGTAATTGTGACTTGACAGCTATGCCAACCAACATTAATTGTGACTTGACAGCTATGCCAACCAACAGTAATTGTGACTTGACAGCTATGCCAACCAACATTAATTGTGACTTGACAGCTATGCCAACCAACAGTAATTGTGACTTGACAGCTATGCCAACCAACATTAATTGTGACTTGACAGCTATGCCAACCAACAGTAATTGTGACTTGACAGCTATGCCAACCAACATTAATTGTGACTTGACAGCTATGCCAACCAACAGTAATTGTGACTTGACAGCTATGCCAACCAACATTAATTGTGACTTGACAGCTATGCCAACCAACAGTAATTGTGACTTGACAGCTATGCCAACCAACATTAATTGTGACTTGACAGCTATGCCAACCAACAGTAATTGTGACTTGACAGCTATGCCAACCAACAGTAATTGTGACTTGACAGCTATGCCAACCAACAGTAATTGTGACATGACAGCTATGCCAACCAACAGTAATTGTGACATAAAAACTTGATAAATAGTTTGTCCCCACTGATTTCTGAAGGTTTTATGATTCCAGCATAAACATTAATTGAAAATTTTATGTAAAGTTATACACTGCATTTTGAACAGTAATTTTACATACCTTGATCGTACAGCTCTCGCATATTTGTCTCTTTGTGGCTGACAAGACAATTCAAGACAGACACCACACCCTGCATTACCCGACTCAAGGCATTGTTTTGGTGATCCTGGGGAATATAACATTAAGTAAGCCAAGCTCATGTAAATCAATACAAACCTATCTTAGTCACAATCAAACATATGTAAGCCAAGCTCTTAATTAAACCAATACAAACCTATCTTAGTCACAATCAAACATATGTAAGCCAAGCTCTTAATTAAACCCATACAAACCTATCTTAGTCACAATCAAACATATGTAAGCCAAGCTCTTAATTAAACCCATACAAACCTATCTTAGTCACAATCAAACATATGTAAGCCAAGCTCTTAATTAAACCCATACAAACCTATCTTAGTCACAATCAAACATATGTAAGCCAAGCTCTTAATTAAACCCATACAAACCTATCTTAGTCACAATCAAACATATGTAAGCCAAGCTCTTAATTAAACCCATACAAACCTATCTTAGTCACAATCAAACATATGTAAGCCAAGCTCTTAATTAAACCCATACAAACCTATCTTAGTCACAATCAAACATATGTAAGCCAAGCTCTTAATTAAACCCATACAAACCTATCTTAGTCACAATCAAACATATGTAAGCCAAGCTCTTAATTAAACCCATACAAACCTATCTTAGTCACAATCAAACATATGTAAGCCAAGCTCTTAATTAAACCCATACAAACCTATCTTAGTCACAATCAAACATATGTAAGCCAAGCTCTTAATTAAACCCATACAAACCTATCTTAGTCACAATCAAACATATGTAAGCCAAGCTCTTAATTAAACCCATACAAACCTATCTTAGTCACAATCAAACATATGTAAGCCAAGCTCTTAATTAAACCCATACAAACCTATCTTAGTCACAATCAAACATATGTAAGCCAAGCTCTTAATTAAACCCATACAAACCTATCTTAGTCACAATCAAACATATGTAAGCCAAGCTCTTAATTAAACCCATACAAACCTATCTTAGTCACAATCAAACATATGTAAGCCAAGCTCTTAATTAAACCCATACAAACCTATCTTAGTCACAATCAAACATATGTAAGCCAAGCTCTTAATTAAACCAATACAAACATATGTTAGTCACAATCAAACTTTCAAGTAAACAAATTCAAACCTAGGTAAGACAAGTTCAAATAAACACATTGAAACATATCTTAGACAAAGACAATTAAACACATTCAAACATGTTTGTCAAAGACAATCAAACATGTTAGTCAAAGACAATCAAACACATTCAAACCTATGTTAGACAATAAAACACATTCAAACATATTTTAGTAACAATCTAACAATATGTTACCGGTACTTAAAGACAATAAAACATATGTTAGCCAATCTCAAGTAAACACATTTCAAAGATGATCTCCATCGGAGGAAATTAGTTTTAAGGAACACTCAATTAAGGAATACATTTTCTATTAACACCCTAGAACAGAACCCAAAGGCTTCAACTATGCCTGAGACATTGATCTCAACTATACCCATTATTATTACATATATATAAGAATGAGCTAGGCTGATCGTAACGCAAAAGAGACAAAAAGATTTAAACACGTTCGGCTTCTTAAAAACAGTGATAAAGATTTTCTATTATTTTTATGGAAATCGAATAAATCTGAATGCGCAAAAAATGAAATTTATTTTAGTAAATGTTTAAGTATTATTATTATAAATTACAAATACATTTAAAATAACAATAAAGGAACTATTTTAAGCAGTTTATCTGAGTTTGAAAGTTATGAAAACAAATTTTCATTAAAAAAATTATGATCTAAGAATGACATCGTAATTACATTTAATAGGAAAACCCAAACATCTGTTGTTTTTCGTGCGTTTTTAGTGCATTGTTAATATTGTGAAATGAAATAAAAATTAATTTGTTCTAAATAAACAAGCAAATGACATCTTAGTGCGCATTGTCTATTTAGCCAAAGCTCTAAGTTTCTTTGATTTAATAACCGTGCCTGACAAAACTGATAATGTATTATCCCTTTCTTAAAAGTAAGAAAAATTAATAAATGTTATTGATTGCTTTTAAATTGTTAAATAAAAAAACAAATTTAGCTTTGCATTTTTTACATTTAATAAGATTTTACTTTTTTTCCATCTCAAAAATATACTTTTATTAAATTTATAACGTAATAAAAACTTAACCTTTAAATATACTTTTACTTTTAGTAAGAAAATGCTGTTTAAGTCAATCAGTGCAACAAAACTCCATAGTCTAATAAACATTCAATATTGCACTTATCCCTCATTCAAATAAGAGCAAACCATATGAAGTGAAAAAAATGTGTATTTGCGTACATAGGGGATAACAATCCTATGGATGATTTTAATTCATTTTATTTAAATCTAGGGGGGGGGGGTGGTGGGGGTGGGGTGGGGCAATACTATCATTTGCCCCAGGCAGCACAAGATACGCATCAGAATATAGCTATACATTTGATAAATAATTAGCCTTCTAGGTTCATACATATCAGGGGTAGGAAATAGGATGCATACATTTTTACGTTGATGACAATATATTTAAATCCTATGATATTACAGTTTTGAAGAAGAGATGTTACATTTTCTTTTTACAAATCAACATAGGTTTATCAAATACGAAAATCCATGGCGTTAACAAAACGTGGGTACATTTACATAAGTTACCCATGAATATCTAAACCCAATCATTTTAAACACGTGAAAATTTCATTTTTACAAATGGAGATGGGTTAAGATTTTCTTTCAAAAATTGAAAATTCATTTTTGTTCATTACTTTGGCAAAAGTAAAGTCGGTGTAGATAGTTATGAGATTAATAACATTTCTGTAAAAAGATACTCAAGGCTGTTACAGACTTGAAAAATGGTTAAGAGATTCTTCTTTAGATAAAAAGATACAAAGAATTCTTTGTTTTACGATTTTCTGATAACATAGTAGAAAACAAAGGAAAAGTTTTGTTAAATTTTTAATGAACTATCAGTATATCAAATTCTGTAATATAAATTATATTTAAAATGGTATATACAGTTTTTGTTTTAAATTTAAGATTAAGTTTTCACAATTTTTAAGGAAACAAAATTTAGCTTAGGGGCAGGAAAAGTGGCAGGGTAACAATTTAAAAACATATGACATCTAAAGTATTTCTCTGGCGTAGAAATCAGGCCTCGATGATTTCCTTTAGTGACAATAACGATTTAATTAGAAATCATTTAGATTTGGTAATTTAAGGTCATGTTTAGAGAAAAAAAAAGTAGTTTAAGGGCACAAAACGGGGGTAGGGTTGGCGTATTATATATAGCAGAAAAATACTTCTTAAAAGTTTTAACGATATTAGAAAAGTACACATCATTTTATAGATACTTCTTTTTAAAAATGGCATTGTGATGAGATTTTACAATAGCTGGTGGAAATTATCGCAAAGTGCCAGCCATTCCAATCTTGGTAATATCACATGTTATTTTCTAGTTTATAATAATTATATACCTTCATACTTCTGAAATAGTATTCTTGTATCTCTGTTTATTTCATTCAGTCAATCTGTTGTCTCATAGCTGATATCTTCATAACTATCTTACAGTTGTATTTCATTCTGTCAATTTGTGTTGTCATTACCGTCATACTTCTCTTACAGTTGTATTTTATTCAGTAAATCTTTCTTCAAATTGTTTCTAAGATAACACAGCTGAGAACAAATGATTGAATTAGTCTGAGTAAGTTCAGTAGGTCTAGAATTAATTAATCAGTATTACCATCCCAGCAAGTTTTAAAAATATTCTCTCACCATTAATACTTGAAATAAAACAATGATCAGTCCCTGCTGCTCCATTTTTTTAATAAATGAGCTGTCATGTTCTAGAAAGGTTAACATTAGCTTCAGGGCATAGCTGGGCAGTGGATCTAAATCTAGGAGGATGGGCTCGAACCTGTTACCAAAACATTGATGGCTTTTTTAAAAACATTAAAATATGTTAATAACTTAAAAGCACTACGCATAACAATTAAGATTTGTGTCTCATTCATTACTGATTTAAAAAATTAATCTATCGCTAATGTCAGACATTTTCCCTACCCAGCCACAAGGAAACCCTTTATTATTATTGCCCCTCACAATATGTCCCATGCCCGATTTTCTGTTAATATTTCCCATCACAATTTGTCCCATGCCTGATTTTCTGTTAATATTGCTCCTCACAATATGTCCCATGCCCGATTAAGGTAACCTTCTGTTAATATTGCTCCTCACAATATGTCCCATGCCCGATTAAGGAAATCTTTTGTTAATATTGCTCCTCACAATATGTCCCATGCCTGATTAAGGAAACCTTCTGTTAATATTGCCCATCACATTATGTCCCATGGCTGATAAAGAAAACTAAAGCAAAAAAAAATAATTAACTTATATATTATGTATACGTGGAGAAAAAGTTTAGGTTTTGATGCCTAAAAAATTCCAAAATAATTTTGAAAAAATATCTTTAACTATTTTATTATTTTTTATATAAAATAACTTTAATTTAATTTAACAGCTAGATTTAAGAAATGAACATTAAACAAGTGATCAGAGAATAAAAATGAAATTTAACAGTAATTAGAGACAGTTCAAAAAAGTATAGCTAAATACTTGTACTGACTGAGGGAGCAGTTTTTCCTGTATGACGGTATGAAGGTGGGAAGTGCTGACTTTAATGTCTATACCGAACTGATCTTGTGTGAGGTACACTGATGCTATATCACCAAAGAGCTGCAGAGCTTGAGCTTTGGTATCCACTAAAAAACATGCAAGACAAAATCAGTTTAAAAAAAATTAACGTGGTCTGTTATAATATATTTCAACAAATTTTATTTGGTTGATAAAGATATTTAGCCACAAACTACAAAAAGCTATCACCCCCATTCACTCAATATTCAGACAGGCAGTGATTCACTCATCATTAAGACAGGCAGTGATTCACTCACCATTCAGACAGGTAAGGATTCACTCATCATTAAGACAGGCAATGGTTCATTCACTATTCAGACAGGCAATGATTCACTCACTATTCAGACAGGAAATGATTCACTCACCATTCAGACAGGCAATGATTTGCTCACCATTCTGACAGACAATGATTAACTCACCATTCTGACAGGCAATGAGTGATGTCAAAAGTGGTAAGATTTCTTTCAGGATCACTTCATTGTACTCAACAAGCAAGGTTGGATGTTGAGAGATCCCTTCTAAGACAAACAGGGCTGAGCTTACAAATTCTGAAGCACTGATGGCTGCTGTTTTGAGAGAGGTATGAATAGTATGATGGGATAATGGTGACTGATGGTTGCTGTTTTGAGAGAGGTATGAATAGTATGATGGGATAATGGTGACTGATGGTTGCTGTTTTGAGAGAGGTATGAATAGTATGATGGGATAATGGTGACTGATGGTTGCTGTTTTGAGAGAGGTATGAATAGTATGATGGGACAATGGTGACTGATGGTTGCTGTTTTGAGAGAGGTATGAATAGTATGATGGGATAATGGTGACTGATGGTTGCTGTTTTGAGAGAGGTATGAATAGTATGATGGGATAATGGTGACTGATGGTTGCTGTTTTGAGAGAGGTATGAATAGTATGATGGGATAATGGTGACTGATGGTTGCTGTTTGGAGACGTCTGCTTGTTTAATTGTGACTAATAGCTGCTGTTTAGTGAGGTTTGATGTGTTGATGATGAATTAAGATAATTTCAAAACTAGTTTTGTCTAAGATTTTAGGAGCATCTTATTGTGGAACACTGCAATCTGACTTTATAGAAATGGCATTTCATTTTTGTATAATTATTTACAAGTGCGAAGACCAATAAGAAAGAACTGAACTAATCTTTATCAATAAGTCACACTGTAGGACGGCAACATTTAAATGATCTTTCAATTACAACAGAACAGTTTAAAATTTTTTATTATACAACTTTTGTTAGTTCAATGACAAATCAAAATATTGAACCAGTTCTTGGCATGAAACTTAGTTTATGCAAGTTGGTCAAACAAAATTTTAAATGAAACTTAAATGAAGCTGAGCACACTCTGTGGGTGAAATAAATATATTCTGAGAAAGCAATAGGCCTTATGGGTAAAAGCTAAGAAACATCTCATATACAGCTGAAATGTTATTTAAGCTCAGAAATGTAATTTTCATTAAAAGAAGAAAAATTATGGCTGGATTGAATCTGATTTCAGAAAAACTCAAATAATCTTTTCATGAACAGTAAAAACAATGTGAGCAGTTTAATAATAAGCGCACATATTAATTATGATATAACTTATAACAATATCATATAGCTCAGTGTACTAACAGTTTATCTTAACATATTCAACAAATTTTTATCAATTGATTTTGGTTCTTTAAAGTTATTTTGATATTGCAAGCTGATGAGAAAACAAATGAACTCAAAAAATTATGTATTGATTAGATTGTAGCTCACAAAGTTACATCCAAAAGTTTAAGATTAACTATTGTGTGAGGCAAGGCTTAAGGTGTAGAATGGCTAAAAACATAAGAGACACTCTGAACAGCAGTATCTAATAAACTTTTCTCTATTACATAAGCTGTTAATTTTATTAGCAAAATGAGTTAACCAGAAATTGAGTCACTAAGTCTATTCTTTGTCTTGATCTATCTCATGAAATGTGCATGGCCCCCCAACAAAATGACCACATTAAAGTTGTTTAAATTGATAACGATGCCATTTTGTAAAATTTGCCTGGGGTTTTCTAATGCAGAAATGAGACACCATCAAAAGAAAGGATACAAAAAAAGTCATTTGCATATTTAAAAAACATTGTTTTATTAAAAAAATTAGTGTTTATGAGTACGGCAGATTAGAATAAAAACTTTGCTACAGTAGTCTTAAAACACAAGCCACACTCCTTTCCCATGTTGGGCCCTTGCGGATTTAAATAGCACAGCAGCCTATGTAATGGCCAATAAATTGATTTACTTTCGATATCATAGTTTAAAATACTCTAATATAAAATAATAATATAGAATAGGAGACATAAAGCTAAATATTCATAATTGAAAAATAAATTGATAAAGCCAAGACGTTGAAAATCAAGCCAAAAAAATTGATGTTTTAAGTACTAAGTTCTCTCCCTAGAAAAAGTTATCCTAAATAAATCAAAACTTGGTTAAATGCAGCAAAGGCAACATTTATAATAGAACAGTTGTGCATTACCTTTACCTTTCTCTGAATGTGTTAGGAATAAAATAAAACAACATTAAATTAGACATGCTGTCAAGTATTTGTCAGGTTTACAACACAGTTTGACTTGTACAATGGACAATTTTAAACCCTATAAACTATTTCATCACTTCCACAGCCATGTTAACCATAAATGGAAGTGAACAGTGAATTGCAAAAATTATTCATTACATATTAGAACATTTCTATGCAACAGCTGGTACAACACTGCATGTACTGGGCCCTGTGTTATTCAAAGTTGAAAAAACAACAACACATCTTTCCTTATGATTTCTATTAGTAAGACTCATGGCAGCAAAACTTTTGGCCTATATATAAACAAATAAATTTGCTGCCATCCCTTAACCCCAAATAAAAAATAAATCTTTACACATTGAAACTGATATTGCACAAAATTATTGTTAAATGAAATTCTTTTTAAAGTCAGTGCTGTATACATGGATAATAGGATGAACTGACAGACACCAAGGAATGTTTCAGATAAATTTAGTCACTGTCAATGTTTTTGCCATGTTGATAGCTTGGATGCCATCATTAGCTTAGATGCTATTATTAGCTTAGATGCCATCATTAGCTTAGATGTAATTATTAGCTTAGATGCCATCATTAGCTTAGATGCAATTATTAGCTTAGATGCCATCATTAGCTTAGATGTAATTATTAGCTTAGATGCCATCATTACATTAGACTTTGTAATCCTAGAGGTAATAAAATATAATTGCGCCCTTTGATTATGCAAGTATTTCCATTTTGTCTCAGGTTAACTCAAAAACAACACCAACAGATTCCTGCTCATGTTAACTCAAAAACAACACCAACAGATTCCTGACCTTTTTGTTGTAATAGTTGCCTCTCAATGACAATGAACAACATATTTCTTTTAGAAACATTTTTTAAAAAAATGCTACGTTTGAAAGCAGAGTTGTGGAGATGTCATTAACAGAATTCAAGAAGTGCTGCATTATTTTGTAATCTACTATAATGTTATTATTTTACACCACCATGTACCTTTAAGAATGGCAATTTATCACTCTGCCTTTTTCCTTATGACAAAAACAAACAAACATAAATAAAGAATTACAGTTTCTCAACTTTGCAATTATTTGAACTCAATAACTTATTCATTTGTTAAATTTGTATTTATATTGACTATTCAACCACCAAATCTAAAAAAAAGCCTTCTGTTCACTATACACACCAGGGCCAACTATGGTCAATTTGAAAAAATAAATAAATAAAAAAAAAACTTTTCATTTGTTTATTTATCAATGTTAGATGCTGGAAGAAATGATTGTGGATGAGGCTATCAAATATTTAAAAAAATATTATTTTAATGAAATTTGAAAGCTACATTCAAAACTTATAAAAACAAGTCTTAAGAATGTGGAGAAACAAAAAATTGCAAAACAACAACTTTTTCAAATAGTCTAAAGGGGTCGTCCATTAATTATGTCAAAAAAATAGGGGGGGGGGTGTTTGGAAATGTTTGACATTTGTTGACAAGGGGGAGGGGGGGGGGTTTAGTCATTTGAAGGCCAAAAGTATTTTTTTTCTATTAAAATTTTAATTTTAAAATTGATGCTACATTCAAAACTTATAAAAACAAGTCTTAAGAATGTGGAGAAACAAAAAATTGCAAAACAACAACTTTTTCAAATAGTCTAAAGGGGTCGTCCATTAATTATGTCAAAAAAATAGGGGGGTGGGTGTTTGGAAATGTTTGACATTTGTTGACAAGGGGGAGGGGGGGGGGTTTAGATCATTTGACGACAAAAATCATTTTTTCTCTATTAAAATATTAATCTTAAAATTGACTGGTTATTACATTATTTTAACAAATTTAATGACTGTAAATTAAAATAGTTATATAATTTTTTAGGCTTTTAACAATATAAGATTTATTTAATGTGTGTCTGTCTATGCACTGCTGATGGCTGGTCAGAATGTTAGCACATTTAGTTAATGCAAGAGAAGTCAAAAGTTGGCCTCTCTTCAACTGTAGATTCTATTTGTCGCTAATGACTGGGCATTATGTTTGGGATCCAGTTGCAGGTATGGAACAAGGACAAGGTTCCAGAGCCATGTGCGGTCAAGATAAATGGTATTGATAGATTAAGAATACGATATTTTGAGAATTAGGGGAAAGTAAAGTGAGTAACCATAATAACATCGCTGCTTGAACGGATTGGCAAAAATCTGTAACATCTAGTTTGCATTACAAGTCATGTTGAAATAGCAAGCTCAACAGCACCGATAACGAATAAGAAATTACCACCTGCTCCTCAACAAAAAAGGATTCGACTAAGCAAGTAGCTGCCAGGAGACAGAGAGACTTATGGCAATTATTGCTTACACTGACAATGCTTCAATTTAAAGTGCTGAATGGTTAGATGTGGATGAAGTTGACTTGACTGGTATATCAGTTCCGCAAGATGAAAATGATAAATCAGCTAGTATGTCCATTGTTACGATAGAGCAAAACCTGGCTACTCCCTGGGAAAATTATAGCAGCTAGAAACTATGCTACAATTGTCAGATATACTGACAATAATCATATTTCTACTTCCACAAACAAATGATAATTAGTCTTTAACAGGGGGGGGGGGAGGCAGTAAAAAGTTGCTTAAAAATTGTTGACGTTATTAATGGACGCCCCCAAATATTCCAATAAACTGAAGGGTAATAACTCACCTGAGGCAGATTCAATATTGGTCTCCCCTGATTCAATCTTTACTACATGACTTAGAAGTTTCACATATTGTCCAAGAAAGTGCTGACTTATGATGAATCCTCGGAATACCTAACAAATTTAAATGTAAAAAAAATGTATTATTAAAATGTATCACTCTCACATGAAATATTTAAAAATTAGAATGGCACATAGCTAGAGCAGTGAGAGTGGTCCTAAATAGAAGGTTTATGTAACACAGAATATAGAGCAGTGAGAGTGATCCTAAATAGAAGGTTTGTGTAACACACAAAATAGAGCAGTGAGAGTGATCCTAAATAGAAGGTTTATGTAACACACAATATAGAGCAGTGAGAATGGGTTTATGAAACACACAATATGATTAAACAGAGTTTTAAAAGGTAATATGCAGTTGAGTTCTTCTTCTATATCTTAAGGGCCCACGATCAATTTATTGATCATTTTGGCTCCTATGCATGTAGATGGGATTTGCAATGTTTCTGTTACTGGTGGTGATGAGGAAATTATGCACTAGGGGTTTGAAGGCTTGAGGCAATAGACNNTTGGCTCCTATGCATGTAGATGGGATTTGCAATGTTTCTGTTACTGGTGGTGATGAGGAAATTATGCACTAGGGGTTTGAAGGCTTGAGGCAATAGACACAAATGTGTCTAGTGTTATCGCCTCAACTGTTCCTTTTGAAAGATGGTTCCAGTCCCTGATTGTCTTGGGCAGGAATGAGCAGCTCCTATACTGGCTTCTTGCTGGTATGAGCCTGAATTGCCTGTCATGGCCTCGTCGCAGTCTATGGGGGAGAGGGACGAGTTTCTGTTTAATACTGGAACAGTGGACCAGCCCATTATTTATCTTGTACATCATGGAGAGCCTGGATTGTCGTCGTCGTTTCTCCAATGGTGACCAGCCTAGTGTTTCTAGCATGCTGCCAACACTAGAGGTATTCCTGTAGCAGTTTAGGACAAAGCGTGCTGCTCGTCGCTGGACCCCCTCCAACCTGTCAATGCTCTTCTGGGTAAATGGGTCCCAGACTGAAGATGCATAATCTAAAATCGGACAGATAAAGGCTTTATATGTTCTTTCTTTCACACAGGAGTTGCCAATCTTTAGATTTCGCCTTAAGAACCCCAAGGCTTGGTTTGATTTCATCAAAATAAAAGTTGATTATATTACTTAAATAGAGTACGATTTGGCTTCTTCTCACCTGCTCAATAAATTGTATCTATATATTGTTTAAACATCTGCTTATAAATCATTTAAACATCTGCTTATAAATCAATTCTGCATGTTTTCATAGCATAAAAGGTTTATAACTACTTAGCCCAATTTATTTTTTGGTATTAGAAAATAATCAAATTTGCTCCTGGTAAACAATACCAAATAATTGTATGATATTGCTAAAAATTAAAGCAGACTTGTCACAGATATGAATATATGGGAGATCAGTAATATGGGAGTTATTACTGTAAAATAAAGAGTATTGGGACTTAGAGAAAACTGGCCAATCAGGAGAGAGCAAGGAGTCAAAAAAAAAAAATGGTGTTTGAATAATATGACAGTTGATTCAGGATATATATGTAAGAAGATTGAACAGAACACGTTTATGTTTTAAATGAAGATTTATAGAGTGATAACACTTTATCAAGTAAAGAATTTTACCGAGAAGCTAGTATTGGAATACATATGATACATTCAAAGTGTTTTCGGATTTAGTATGTTTGGCATGAGATGTAGACCTATTTCATATTAACTATTATTGTGATCGTGTGTGCTATGCACTGGGTTCTATTGTGAGAAATTAATCTCCTATTTTAAATTTATGGCTCGTTCAAACAGTGCCTAACAAAGGACAATACCATAGAAAAATACAATAGCAAAAATACGACACCCAAAACAGTACCAATTACAATTAATAAGATTTAAGTTAGGAATAATATAATAACAAAACAAAAGAAATATAATTATAAATCATCAACTAACAGAATATGGGAAAATCTTGTATCGGTACACAAATAGTACAATGTGCCAATTAATAATGCTTCCTTACATCCCCACAAGACAACTACGCTCTTCCATTGACAGTAGAACCCTCTCAATCCCAAGAACTAAAACTAAGACCATCGGTGAACGCTCCTTCTGCTTCCATGGGCCCACGTTCTGGAACCAGCTCCCCTTCCATATACGTCATAGTGAAACCTCGTCCATTTTCAAAAAGTCCCTTAAAACTCATCTGTTTAGGTCCGCCTATGACCTGTGATGCACCCTCCTTGCCCTACCTAATTTTCTGTTTCGGTTTAATCCTGAAGTGTCAAAGTGTCCTCTTTTTATAGCCATTTTCATTGTTTCTATAGAATAGTAGTTACTATCCTAGTGTCTCATTTGTATTTACTTAGTTTACATGTTTTAATAATTGTAAAGCGCTTAGAGCTTTATGATAAGCGCTATATAAAAATGCCTAAATAAATAAATAAATAAATAAATAATGATGAATGATGAATGCCAATAAACACATATGAGTACACAAAGAATAATCCACATCTCGCGAAGTTAAACATATCTATCAATCTATCTGAATTTCTCAGAAACCCCTTATTTATATAGTGGGTCTACCGACACGTCCAGAAACGCCCTTGACATTGTTTACGTTTCTCGTCAAATCGAGAAAGTTCCACAAGATACTAGGAGACAAACTAACCATGTTTAATTGGTAGTCAGCAGTAAACACGACAGATCAAAGGACTAAGCCACGCCCATCTATGAACGTAGCATGTGCTAGGAATCTAATTTGGGGTCAAGCAAGTTCACGCACAGCGAAAAGTGTCCTACATAACACTGTGTAATGAAGTATTAGTCACCATTATTTGAACCACTAGGTCTCTGTTATGACTTACAAGACATTGTGATTGTGACAAGACTAAACCAGGATAAATGGAAAAATTGTCAGCATTTACTCAGTGACTTGACATTTAAAATTTAATACAATCAAGAAGCTAGTGTCTGTTAAATTTTTTTTATGATATGTATTATCAGGCTCTTTTTTCTTGTGCCTTTCTTCAAGTCAGAAGACAATATCAGTCACCATCACTCATTGATTGTCAGATTACAAGTCACCATTACTCAAAGATTGTCAGATTAAAAGTCAGCATCACTCAAAGATTGTCAGATTACAAGTCACCAACACTCAAAGAGTGTCAGATTACAAGTCACCATCACTCAAAGATTGTCAAATTACAATTCACCATCACTCAAAGATAGTCAGATTACAAGTCAGCATCACTCAAAGATTGTCAGATTACAAGTGATCATTACTCAAAGATTTACAGTGGGTCATTGGACTAAACAATACCTGACTGGTGACCAGGTGATTGAATATTGGTATCAAGGGTAGAGAGGACTTGAGCTGTTTCACCTGGGTAGTGCTTGGATGCTTGCGACCTCCAACCTGCTCCAAACATTCCAATATCTCATCTGAGCAAATGCATAAATATATGGCACCATAAGGAATCAGTAGATGCATGTTCATGTTAATAATAATATTTCCAAACTCAACAAAACATTGTCATATTGTGTAAGAAAAGGAGATACATTTTTTAACAATCTTTTTGAGGTCGAAAGAAATGAACACAATGAAACTGTAACTTTTCACTCTGTTGTTGTGGGCAACTCAGCGATGATAGTTAGCTAAATATAAGTATCATTCAAGTGTCGCAGCCACATCTACATAAAATAAATTATTAAGTCCACTGACACTACTAAGCACTTTATTGAAACTGTATTCAAATAATAAATAATAAAAATACCACCTCCATCACAGGCTATCTATATATTTACTTTCACATCTTATATTGATTAGTTATATTTGCTCTCATCCTTACACTTACTTCACAATATGTCAGATAGAAGAATATCACATGACCTCTCAATATGGCAGCCTTTACAGAGTTTGTTATATACTGTTACAGAAACATTTCGACTACTATTTAGATAGAAACCCCAGATATGAAATACTCTCAAGAGTGGATTTCTATTAGATTTTGTTTTTTTAAACTTCTCATTTGTAAAATAAAATTTGAAAGTTAAGGAAATTTAATAATTTTGAATTGCAAAAAAGACCAAGAATTTACATAAGTAAATTTTATAAAAATAATTCGGTGGGTATTGGGGCTACCAAAAGTCCAATAAAAAAATATAAAGATTTTTTGCAATTTTATGCATTAGACCGATCTGGTAGCAGATTTAGATGGCAGCTCACTCATTATACAAACATAAGAGTTAAGTTAGAGGTAAGAATTAAAAAAAACACCTTTACTTTCTGTTTTACTAAACAGACTAAGCCATCTAACACTACATCTTGTTGGTCATTCAGACTAAGCCATCTAACACTACATCTTGTTGGTCATTCAGACTAAGCCATCTAACACTACATCTTGTTGGTCATTCAGACTAAGCCATCTAACACTACATCTTGTTGGTCATTCAGACTAAGCATTCAGACTAACTAAAGCTTTATCCTAAAACATTGGTTTGATTGATTTATCTTTATGAAATAAAGCTTCACCCATCTTGAATACAAAGTCAATAAAATTTGCATCTCTTGACACGTATCATTAGCTGGATTGCTACAGAAAACCATCCACAAGGATATAACAACACACTTAATAGCATGAAAAGTTCTCAATCTCCAAACAAATATGCTGCAATAGAATCAGAATTCCTTGCCCAGGGACACTTTCACATCAACACGAACTATTACAAATGATCATCTACAAATCCTCTATGTCTCACCCATTATTGAGGGCAGACGTTGAACTATCCCAGAGATAAGGAGCTCAAGGCATTGACTTAAATACTCCTGCGCTTCAATAGGTTTTGCTTTCGGTGTTCTGGGAGTCTGTCTACGACTGTCTCTTTCTATGTACATCACTAGTCTGTAAGAAAACAATTATACAAGAGTAATATTGGGGAATTCACACTCTGGGGGTTGTTCAATATTGTTCAGACTGAGTAGTGTCACATGTTCAGACTAAGCAGTGTCACATATTCAGACTGAGCAGTGTCACACGTTCAGACTGAGCAGCGTCACATGTTCAGATTGACATCATCACATATTCAGACTGAGCAGCATCACATATTCTGACTGAGCAGTGTTACATGTTCAGACTGAGCAGCGTCACATGTTCAGACTGAGCAGTGTCACACGTTCAGACTGAGCAGCGTCACATGTTCAGACTGAGCAGTGTCACACGTTCAGACTGAGCAGTGTCACATGTTCAGACTGAGCAGCGTCACATGTTCAGACTGAGCAGTGTCACATGTTCAGACTGAGCAGCATCACCTATTCTGACTGAGCAGTGTCACACGTTCAGACTGAGCAGTGTCACATATTCAGACTGAGCAGTGTCACACGTTCAGACTGAGCAGCGTCACATGTTCAGATTGACATCATCACATATTCAGACTGAGCAGCATCACATATTCTGACTGAGCAGCATCACATATTCTGACTGAGCAGCATCACATATTCGTACTGAGCAGCATCACATACCATCATTGATGTGAAACAAACAAGAGAGTTACCTGGACAGGCAGCAACTGAGTAGTAGGTCACTGTTGTTGTGCACGATCTCATAAATAACAACAAATGCCTTGCCCCTGATCACAGCTGACGGACTTTCAAAGCATCTCATTATCTTGGTACAAAAGTCCTGGATGTGTGGCAGAATAGTTAACTTTAACAATAGCTTACTTTAACTAACACTGTTTAAAATTATAATGTAAAGAAGATTATAAACAAATAATTTTGAAGAGAAAAAAAGTCATATAAATGCTATTTGTCTTTGTGAATATTTTGTCTAGACACCAGATCTTGATACTTACTTTATCTTGGAACAGGCGGCTGGAGTAACCAATAGAAGCCAGAAACACGCCAATCATGGTGATGACCGACTGCTGTATTCTGGACACTCCACTGTTGAGTGCTTGCATGATGGTTGTTACACCTCCAGAGTCCAGGAGATTTTGGAACATGGCTGGGTTTTGCCATGTCAGGTGACACAGGGCCTAAGTTAGGGATAATAATATTAAATAACTTAGAGGCAGCCCCAAAAAAGTCAATTAGCACAGCTGATTAGATGTGTAATTCAACAAATATTCAATACATTAATATATTTTAGTAAAATTGATTACTATTTCAAAAATTATTTAATTAATACATAAATATACAAGCAATAAATAATAATTTTATGTTTTTTCTCTACTCTTCACCCCCCCCCCCCTAAATCTCCTATAGACTTACTAGACATACAATGACATACCATACAATTGTTTAGTTTTTAGCTTTACATTTAAATAATAATTTTATTTTTTTTCTCTACCCTTCCCCCCCCCCCCCCCTAAATCTCCTATAGACTTACTAGACATACAATGACATACCATACAATTGTTTAGTTTTTAGCTTTACATCATAGTTCATTTATTTACCTTCTCTGTAATATCAGGATATATTTCATCAAATTATTGAATATTTGGAAAATTACAGTTTAACTTTAACAACGTCTGTTGAAAATATCCAAATAAAAGTAATACCATCTCTGTGTTATCAAACTCAGCAATAAATAAGTTAAAATGTAAGGAATTTTATGATCACCACTTAGTGACCTGAAAAACCTGAGTGAAATGTTTTTAACTACCTAACAAATTGATAAGCACATTTCTTACGGATATTGTAGTACATTTGAGTGCATCTAAAGATGAATGCTTGAATAAATACCACAGAGACTGGCACACCTCCTGGGTCACAAATTTCTAGGAGGAGGAGAATGTGTATAGCTATTATTAGATTAATTTTATGTAAACATGACAAAGCTATGAAATATGTAAAATATATTTTTAAAACCTGATAGTACATATTTTTTGTATAGAAATGTTTGAAATATTTAACTACACTGAGATTAGTTAATGCTAGAATTACAATACATGCTAATCAAGCATAAGAGATTTCAGATACAGAAACATTTGAGACTATATTCATTACTGGGATGTGGCAAACATACTAGATTTTAATTTTTGTAATTGAAATGTGGCAAATATACTAGTTTAAAAGGCTACATTTTTGGCTAGGGAAGAGATTAAAAGTGGAGAGCTCATATACTTGCTTGTTGAGCCAGGTGATAGTAATAATGGCATATGAATAAACTGGGAAGTGAAGGCTAGAATTAAGCACAGATTCACTCTAGTTTGAAAATTCAGAAAAAATGAGCTTAAAAAAATCAAATGGCAAATCAATCGACAAGTCCAAAAATTAATCAGTCAACAAGACAATCAGAAATACAATCAACAAGTCATTGAGATCAGTTTTTACCTGAGCATGGCTTGATATGGTGGCTGTCACAGTCTCAATAATTTTAGTGGCTATGTGATTCAAAACTTGATCATCCTGGAGAAAAAATCAGTACACTAGTCCTATAAAATAAAACTAGTATTTAAGTCTACTAATGCATCTAAAAAATAATTAACTAACAAAAATAAGCCTTCTGCCTGAAGTAAACTTGATTACTTGATATACAGGTCAAACCTCATAGTACTTATCTGTTCTCATTATTTATTTTAATTAGCCAAGGTAAAAGATGTATAATATCATTTATATAATGCCAGAAATTTAGGTTAAAAAATGCTACCTAAAATAGGGGTATACATTATACTTATACATGGGAGTACAAAAGGGATATTATGATAGTTGTGTCAGTATGACCACAGTTCATTTTAAACATTATAATAATTAAAAGGGTTTTGGAAATAGTAACATTTTCTAAAAATAAATATTTTTTTGTTAGTTTGTATTATTATAGAACAAGATTAACACATTGCATTATTTTTTTTTTTTTTAAAGTTGGGGGTTCACATTACATGTGGATCCTAGTATGCATGGTAATATACGGTAATACATAAATGATCAATGGACAGATTTATTTGCCAGTAATTGAATTAACTAAGGCATTTACATTTGATCAGTAATTATCTTTAGAAAAAGCAACAACCAAACCAATGGCAAATTGCAATGAAACTTTTGCTCGGATGTATGTTTTAATATTTTCCTATCCTTTCATACATTGGCTTACCATTTAACAAAAAATCCCACAGTAGAAACAAACTTTCAAATTAAATGAAACCAATGAATCCAAATTGAATTTGTATCACAACTTTAACAATAAATCATGTAATAAAGACTTACATCTGAACAGCCCTGTTAAAAACAATTCAACTATTAAACAGTTTTAAAATATATATTAATAATTATAGATGTTTATTTAAACTTTTAAACCTGCACCAAAGCAGTTAATGATTCAAATTATTCATAGATGTCAAAAGTAGCCTCATAACAAAATGCCAGAATCAAGAATTCAATAAAAAATATTCTAGGTCATTAAAAAAAATATGCAAATATCATTATCACATAAAGCTTATAATTTTTTGATTTTTAAATTTCTATCTAGCAGAAAAATTAAAAAATCATAAAAAAAATCCTTCCATGTACCAAAAAGTCTGCATCACAGAGTGTGCAACTCTAAATTGCATAATAGCCTAACTCTAACCTTCCAGTACTCACCCCTTCTCTTATTCCTCTTATGATGGTTGTGTAAGCGATGGAAGGTACTGTCCAGATTTCAACAGCTTCTTGGGTTTTCTGCTCCTGAAAAAAAGTTCTGGTTGATACACATTTGTACTTATTCTCATACAAAATACCTACCTATATTATATATCATGACAATTTCTCTAGCAGTTAAAACTTTAAACAGCATACTTATTCTATTTATGCCATGTTAAGTTTTACTCAATTTAAGGAGACAAAAGCAAACTCTATTATTTTTATGAAGCATAAATTACACTTTTCTCTTATTTATAAGTCTACAGTGGGTTCTATGTAACAATCAGCTATGTTAAAATAATACTTTATTGAAGCACTTATGTTTCTCATAAATAAATAGGATTTTGTCTTTAAAGAAGGAATTGAGGATTTTCAAGTGGTAGTTTTCTTCAAATATATATTGCAGCTGTCTGTATAGAGCTTATTATTGTCAACTATTTGTAATTGTTAATATCAGATGTCATAATAAGGAGATGTCATTGTTTAAACTGTTCAAGGATAGTTTTGTCTCGTAATTTATTTCAGTACAGCAAATGACCTGTGCTGCGACCATTGCAATCATTTCCCCAAGGGCAGGCAACAAGCCTTGCTTTAGTCTGCCATTTTTCATGTTTTCTCTCAACATGTCACTCAGTGTGGTCATGGCCTGAAAGAGAAATTAAAACCATTTATTAATATAATATTTGTGTGTTCTATTCATTTAAACGTTAAAGAAATAATAATCAACATCTGTGGCTTAATATGATGTTTAATGCTTCAATTAATTATTGAATCTAGATTCTGCTGTCTGGTAAAGCTTGTGAATTATTTAAAGTTAATGTATGAAAATATACAAAAAACTCTAATGAAGAAGGAGCAAAAAATAAAACCTCTTAAAAATGAAGCTTAAGTACCACCTTTTGGAATTGAAAGATGAAATTGATTCATTATTTTCTTCACATGACTTTTCTGTTAACCATGCCGTTATTTAATGGAAATTATGGATTAACCCATTCAATTCTGGGCCCACATAAAAATTATCCCTTGAAACCTCAATCAAAGGGGGGGGGGGGTTATAAACACACACACACACACAAACACCCCCCCACTTTTATTGTGGATAGGTTGAGAAAATAATTTAAATATATTTTTAATATATTTCTATGAAATAAATTGTTTTTTTAACAACAAATTTATCAACTACTCATGATCTTAACAAAATTAAAAATAAATCTGCTTTTAAAATAATGAATTCTCCGAGCCAGATTGCTAAAAATAACAAAATATGGAAGTAATATCCCTTGGCCTTATTTCGCGTGAGGTTTTTTATTTAAATAGATTACTCATTTCAATATAGCAACATGTAAACAGCGAGTTGAGTGGTTGAATCTGTACCAGCTGGATCAGGCAGTTACAGGTGTTGTGAACTAGACTTAGGTTGATATAAAAATTTGTTGACCCTGAGAGCATTTTGGGAGGTCGAGATTGTGACGTCATGGTAGTAACATTTAAAATGAGGACGTTTTTGAACCTGTCGTTATCCAGGGTAGCCACATATAGAAAGAACATTAATATTTCCAACCTGGAGTTGTTTGATTTATATCTTTGAATAGTATTGTTCTTCCTAGACAATGTGGAGACCACTCCCTGTTCAATCAACGCACCTAGTGCGGGAGTTGTTAATGTTTAAGAAGGAAAAATCTTAACATTTGGAAGATCTTAACGTTAGGAACATAGTAACAACAGAGTTGGATGGGTTAATATTCTTTTGTGCATGTTCCAAAATTTATTTCAACATCACAGAGAAATCAACGTCCACCTTATTGAGATAGATTAAAAGGCATTTTTAGACTAATTGGAGTTAAATTTCACCTCTGGAAACTCATCAAACCAGAAATATAGCAGTTGAATATGATACCCCAAACCCGAGTTGAACATGATAACCCCAAACCAAAAAATTTAAACATCTTTCAAATTAAGCTGGAAAAAGTTTTTATAAACTGGATATTTAAGTGTTTCTTTCTCCACCTTACTTCAGTAATGTTTATGGAAGTATCCACGGAATCAGTGAAATGTGCTACCAAAGCCAGAGCTCTTGCAAACTTTAATCTCCTAAAACAGATTAACAAGGATACAAAGCATGAGTTCAAAGTTAAATACTTTTAAAGACACTACATTTAAATTAGAACATTGGTAACTTGATTTCATTTTCATAATTTTCCTCATGAAAAGAACAAGATTTTTTTATAGTAAATGAATGCAGGTGTTAAATCATTTTAAATGGGTTCCTCTGGCTGGGGTTAACCATTTTAATGGGGTTCTTCCACGTAGTAGCTTGGCCATATTTCTTTGTTCTACTTACATGTCAACATGCGATGAATCTTTGATCTGCTTGGTCATTGCCCCCAGCAAGCCCAAGTGTGTCTGTCAAAACAATTATTATTCTACAAATAAATGGCTTTAAAAAAATTGTTTTATTAGTATTTTTTATCTTAAGAAAAAATAACATTCTAGTAATATAATAACATAAAGTTGTTTTAATAACATACTGGTGTTATAATAACAAACAGGCAATAGAACCAGGCAGTGTTTCCCCATGACACAAATATTTAAATGTATTTTTTGTGGTTTAATGACATTTTAAGAGCAAATGACTAGACCATTTTTTTATCCTCCTAATCTAAACAGATAACATTTTTAAAAAATTGAAGATACCAACTCATAATAAATTGAAAAGAAAAACAACTGTTAGAAAAAATAAAGATAAAATTAAAATTTAAAGAAATTCATAAAAAAAAATGTTTTATCAGAGGAACCTACGGACACCGGATTCTTAGCATTATTGGTAAATAATAAACACAAAGGACATACGAGAGCGGCAGACAGCCGTCGGCATGATGCCACACAAGCAATGTAATGGAGAAGTTGAATCTTTTTATGAGATGGTGGGCCTTTCTCAACCAGTGTGATGTTATCAAAGATGGCCTTGGCATGTTTTTGTATTTCCTTATCAGACAGGCTACAGAGTTTCTCAGCTGCCAAGAAAGAAGACTTGATCATATTAGAGGACATAAGAAAGAAGACTTGATCATATTAGAGGACATAAGAAAGAAGACTTGATCATATTAGAGGACATAAGGAAGTTAACTTCATCATATTAGAGGACATAAGAAAGAAGACTTGATCATATTAGAGGACATAAGAAAGAAGACTTGATCATATTAGAGGACATAAGAAAGAAGACTTGATCATATTAGAGGACACAAGGAAGAAGACTTGATCATATTAGAGGACATAAGAAAGAAGACTTGATCATATTAGAGGACATAAGAAAGAAGACTTGATCATATTAGAGGACATAAGAAAGAAGACTTGATCATATTAGAGGACATAAGAAAGAAGACTTGATCATATTAGAGGACATAAGAAAGAAGACTTGATCATATTAGAGGACATAAGAAAGAAGACTTGATCATGTTAGAGGACATAAGGAAGTTAACTTCATCATATTAGAGGACATAAGAAAGAAGACTTGATCATATTAGAGGACATAAGAAAGAAGACGATCATATTAGAGGACATAAGAAAGAAGACTTGATCATATTAGAGGACATAAGAAAGAAGACTTGATCATATTAGAGGACATAAGAAAGAAGACTTGATCATATTAGAGGACATAAGGAAGTTAACTTCATCATATTAGAGGACATAAGAAAGAAGACTTGATCATATTAGAGGACATAAGAAAGAAGACTTGATCATATTAGAGGACATAAGAAAGAAGACTTGATCATATTAGAGGACATAAGGAAGAAGACTTGATCATATTAGAGGACATAAGAAAGAAGACTTGATCATATTAGAGGACATAAGAAAGAAGACTTGATCATATTAGAGGACACAAGAAAGAAGACTTGATCATATTACAGGACATAAGAAAGAAGACTTGATCATATTAGAGGACATAAGAAAGAAGACTTGATCATATTAGAGGACATAAGAAAGAAGACTTGATCATATTACAGGACATAAGAAAGAAGACTTGATCATATTAGAGGACATAAGAAAGAAGATTTGATCATATTAGAGGACATAAGAAAGAAGACTTGATCATATTAGAGGACATAAGGAAGAAGACTTGATCATATTACAGGACATAAGGAAGAAGACTTGATCATATTAGAGGACATAAGAAAGAAGACTTGATCATATTAGAGGACATAAGGAAGAAGACTTGATCATATTACAGGACATAAGGAAGAAGACTTGATCATATTAGAGGACATAAGGAAGAAGACTTGATCATATTAGAGGACATAAGAAAGAAGACTTGATCATATTAGAGGACATAAGAAAGAAGACTTGATCATATTAGAGGACATAAGGAAGAAGACTTGATCATATTACAGGACATAAGGAAGAAGACTTGATCATATTAGAGGACATAAGGAAGAAGACTTGATCATATTACAGGACATAAGGAAGAAGACTTGATCATATTAGAGGACATAAGGAAGAAGACTTGATGATATTAGAGGACATAAGGACTATCATTACAACACAGAGGCTGTTTCAAGTAGTTTGCTTTGATCTCAGCTCATAATTTAAACCATTCCTGGCTTTAGCAGAAAGTGTAAAATTGGGTCATCTTTAGTCTACAGCTGGCCACATGAGAAAATTTATAATTTTGTCATCTTTAGTCCTCAGCTGGCTACATAAGATAGTTTATTGATACAAGGTGAGCCCCAGAAGACATTAAATGTGGGCAATATGAGAGTAATAATACATCTCATTATTTGATATCACTTAGTGTTTTATACCTCTCAGTATTTTATATCACTAGTGTTTTATACCTCTCAGTATTTTATACCTCTTAGTATTTTATACATCTCAGTATTTTATACCTCTCAGTATTTTATACCTCTTAGTATTTTATACATCTCATTATTTGATATCACTTAGTGTTTTATACCTCTCAGTATTTTATATCTCTCAGTATTTTATATCACTCAGTGTTTTATACCTCTCAGTATTTTTTATCTCTCAGTATTTAAAAACTCAACTGGACTTTTTTTATTTCAATAAAATTATTTTGTCTTAAATGCTTGTAAAAAAATCAGACATTGGTAATATGAAACAAGCACAGATACATGTTTAAGCCTTAGCAAAAAGAAAAACTAAGTTAAGCTGAATTTTTTTTGTTTTCAGTAGAGTTCCAAACAGTCAAAAGTCACAAATAAAATGTTTCAGCCCTTAAAATTATGCCCCTGTGCCGAGGTAGAGTTACCCATTTGTAGAGGAGATGTTAAATTCTAGAATGATTTCAAGTTTTCACGACACCAAAAAAGATCAGAATTTTTGCTCATGATCATTTCACATTAAAAAAGCTTTTGAATGTTATCTCTATTTAGAGTGCAAGTGAACTTACAATTGAATGGAGGCACTGGCAGCACTTTAACATCATATTTACACTGTGTGACTTTTTGTATCTGTAAGTGAAAATAATTTATTTCAAATAATGTAATAAATATGTTTTGTGTTAAATCACGATGCAAATGTAATTATTCCAGACAGAAGCTGCTTTAGATCAGCGTTTCTCAACATTTGACTGTATGGCCCGTTAGAAGACCACATCATATTATTTGGAGTGCACAATAGCTTTAAAAAAACAAACTGCGAGTATAAAAAGATGTTTTTTTATAAAATAATGACATGGAAGCAGGCATGAGGTAAATAAAATGTTAATTTGGGCCACTGGGCAAATACAAGCTAAGAAACCCTGGTTTAGATAGATATAAAGCATCATAGGGAAATTCCTTTTGAAATGGTGTCAGACTTTTGCAAACAGTAAATACAAGAATGTGAATCAAAGGTACCTCAGGATTATCAATAATCTGCGGGATAATAAAATAAATATGTAATCCAAAGTTACCTTGGGATTATCAACAATCTGTGTGACAATAAAGTCACTGTCATGAAAGATAAGCCTTTTAGTTTCACTTCCAACATCCTGCAAACTTGCCTCCCCATCTGTGGTGTAGCCAATTGTTTCCCTTGTTTTCAGTGGTGATTGTGGTGGCTTGTGGGGGGAGATTACTCTATCATCTGAAGGGACTGCTGTATGTGGGCGGGCACTATAGAAACATTAGTAAAAGGGAGATGATAGGAATGAAATTTTTGATTTAAACATAAACAAGACAACAATAAAAAAAATCATTGCACAACTTAAATTGCATAGGTCTTTTTAATTTTGATATTTTTTATACCTTAGTGTAAAAAGACTTCCTCCACTCTCCATCCCAGGAGCAGTTTTAGGCCGAAGGTAATCACTCATTCCAACAACAGTGCCTTAAACAGACAATTTTATATCACCATTTATATGAAAATGTTTTAATTTCTTTTAAATAGTCCATATTTTCCTATCTTCTTAAACATAAAAGTTAAAATCATATCACTAACTTGGTCTACTGACATCTAAAACTATATCACTAACTTGGTCTACTGACATCTAAAACTATATCACTAACTAACTAACTTAAGAAAATCAGCGAACACCGAGCCTTGAGGCTCATATGGTCCTCCCCAACGCACCACCCCGCCAACCAAACCGGCCGTCAACCACTCCCCCAGTGGTCTTTATTCCGATCGGGCCGCGAAGCGGCACGCCAGGGACGCTCCGCCCCTAAGACCGCCACACTCGACCTCCACTCGATTGGCCGCCGAGTGTGGCAGCCCCAGAGAAGAAACACCTGGCCAGCCGGATTGCTGCTCACGCAGCAACAGGGCCGGACTTTCTAAGGGGTTGGGGTGGATATTTAACGTCTCTAAAGTCCCCCCTTACCACCCCGGGGGGACCGCGTAGTTGTTTAAGACCGACGCCCTCTACTAGGGTTTGTATGGTTATTCTACGGTGCGACTAATTCACACCGTAGATGGGAGTGTGGCAGCCCCAGAGAAGAAACACCTGGCCAGCCGGATTGCTGCTCACGCAGCAACAGGGCCGGACTTTCTAAGGGGTTGGGGTGGATATTTAACGTCTCTAAAGTCCCCCCTTACCACCCCGGGGGGACCGCGTAGTTGTTTAAGACCGACGCCCTCTACTAGGGTTTGTATGGTTATTCTACGGTGCGACTAATTCACACCGTAGATGGGAGAGAGAGGTTGCCTTGGAGCAGTACCCTCAAGACTGCATATTTAAAATCACCGGTGAAAGGTTGCCACACACCTTCACCTCATATCCATACGGCAACTGTAATCATGTCCCAACCTGTTTCTGCATCAAAGAAACTATCACTAACTTGGTTCTTCTGACATCTAAAACTATATCACTAACTTGGTCTACTGACATCTAAAACTATATCACTAACTTGGTCTTCTGACATCTAAAAATATATCACTAACTTGGTCTACTGACATCTAAAACTATATCACTAACTTGGTCTACTGACATCTAAAACTATATCACTAACTTGGTCTACTGACATCTAAAACTTTATCACTAACTTGGTCTACTGACATCTAAAACTATATCACTAACATGGTTCTTCTGACATCTAAAAATTATATCACTAACTTGGTCTACTGCCATTTAAAACCACATAACTAACTTGGTTCTTCTGACATCTTAAACCATATCACTAACTTGGTCTACTGCCATCTACAGTGTCCAGGTTTATAGCTGGTCTGTCCATGCTTCTCCTAGTGTCCAAGCCCTTCACACGCCCCAACACAGAGCTGACTCCATTCTCAAACACAGAAGAGACCCCAAGATTTGTCTTTGTACTTGACTGGACCTCTGATTGCGCAATGGTGAACTCTTTTACCAAGTGGGCCAGCTGACCCTGCCAGAAATTGTGATTAACAAGTTCAGGCCAACTCATTCTGAAAAATTATTCAAAAACAGAAATATAACATTTCAATTACAAGCAAATTACTGAAATTTCAATTACAAACAATTTACTGAAATTCCAATTAAAAAAATTACATTACCTTAAAAATGTTCAAAACCTACAATCGTATTTTAATAATTAATGAAGAAGTGATTTCAGTGAATAATGATCTACAAAAAAATTCTCATTAACTATAGAGCATGAACTGATATTAATACAATGGTAGCACAAATGTACAAGATAAATAATGGGCTGGTCCACTCCTCCAGCGTTTAACAGAAACTCGTCCCTCTCCCCCAAAGACAGCCATGAGGCCATGACAGGCAATTCCGGCTCATACCAGCAAGAAGCCAGTAAAGGAGCTGCTCATTCCTGCCATAGACAATCAGGGACTGGAACAAGCTTTGAAAAGGAACAGTTGAGGCGACAGCACTTAACACTTTTGTGTCTATTGCCTCAGGCCTTCCAACCCCCAGTGCATGATACCTTTACAAAGTGGCCCTTGCAACCAATGAAATATGATTAATATCCGCATCAACACAAACCCAGTGAGCCTACTATTTCATCAGCCCAGTGAGGCAAATATTTTTGGGTAAGAGGAAAATCATCAGTGTAAAAACAACTGAATAACTACAGATGGAAGACATAGGCCAAATAGGTATGAGATTAAAACCAGCTGTCTAGTTGATGCTATGTCTTAATATTAGTTCATCAAAGAAAATGAACTATGGCACGAACAATCCCATAAAACCATTATTGTAAGGTAAGATTTTAATTTTGCAAAATTACCTTTCTGCAGGATCTTTCTTTAGTAGGCTTTGTAAAATATTCAGGAATTCAGGTGAAGGCTTAGCAGATATTCTCGGACCTGGATAGCAAAGTTCCATCAAATGATCATATTAAATTCATAGGAAGTAATTGAGCACTGCATAAGTCTGGGGTTAATTGTCTTGAAAAAAATCATAGGAAGTAATTCAGCACTGCATAAGTCTGGGGTTAATTGTCTTGAACAAAAGTTCTCACTGAACAAAATGATCATAAAATTAAAGCAGAAATTTTAAATTAACATTCTTGAATACTTTATACATGATTCTACTATTTAAATTTGAAAACATTACGATTTGTTGGTTCAAATAATTAAATATTGAAACAGTTTTTGAAACCCAAAACTGTTTTGAACATTTTATTTGACTTGTGTGGTCAAAATATGAAAACAACAGAATATGGGATAATAAATATTATTCAGATTTTGTTTAAATATAACTTTTTCAGACAGCATTCAAGGTTAAACACTGACCTTTCACTTTTGGAATTGGAAAATCTTTTGTAAGAATTTTTTCCTTTAAATGGTCTTCCTTTTCAGCAAAAAATGGCGGATATCCTGAAATAAGTGCCCCATAAAAATTTAATTTTCACATCCTTTTCAGCAGTTTTTAATGAACTAATGAAATATTATGAAAATGTACTTATAATAATAATTGGTTAATGAAATTCCAAATGCACACCATGCAATGCTAATGAGTTCCTGATTTAATTAAATCTGATGATCCCTTAATGAGTTCCTGATTTAAATCTGATGATTCCTTAATGAGTTCCTGATTTAATTAAATCTGATGATCCCTTAATGAGTTCCTGATTTAAATCTGATGATTTCCTAATGAGTTCCTGATTTAAATCTCATGATTCCCTAATGAGTTCCTGATTTAAATCTGATGATTTCCTAATGAGTTCCTGATTTAAATCTCACGATTCCCTAATGAGTTCCTGATTTAAATCTGATGATTTCCTAATGAGTTCCTGATTTAAATCTGATGATTCCTTAATGAGTTCCTGATATAAATCTGATGATTCCCTAATGAGTTCCTGATTTAAATCTGATGATTTCCTAATGAGTTCCTTATTTAAATCTGATGATCCCCTAATGAGTTCCTGATTTAAATCTGATGATTTCCTAATGAGTTCCTGATTTAAATCTGATGATTCCCTAATGAGTTCCGAATTTAAATCTGATGATTCCCTAATGAGTTCCTGATTTAAATTTGATGATTCCCTAATGAGTTCCTGATTTAATTAAATCTGATGATTCCCTAATGATTTCCTGATTTAAATCTGATGATTCCCTAATGATTTCCTGATTTAAATCTGATGATTCCCTAATGAGTTCCTGATTTAATTAAATCTGATGATTCCCTAATGAGTTCCTGATTTAAATCTGATGATTCTTTAATGAGTTCCTGATTTAAATCTGATGATTCCTTAATGAGTTCCTGATTTAAATCTGATGATTTCCTAATGAGTTCCTGATTTAAATCTGATGATTCCTTAATGAGTTCCTGATTTAATTAAATCTGATGATCCCTTAATGAGTTCCTGATTTAAATCTGATGATTCCTTAATGAGTTCCTGATTTAATTAAATCTCATGATTCCCTAATGAGTTCCTGATTTAATTAAATCTGATGATTCCCTAATGAGTTCCTGATTTAATTAAATCTGATGATTCCCTAATGAGTTCCTGATTTAAATCTGATGATTCCTTAATGAGTTCCTGATTTAAATCTGATGATTCCTTAATGAGTTCCTGATTTAAATCTGATGATTTCCTAATGAGTTCCTGATTTTAATCTCATGATTCCCTAATGAGTTCCTGATTTAAATCTGATGATTTCCTAATGAGTTCCTGATTTAAATCTCATGATTCCCTAATGAGTTCCTGATTTAAATCTGATGATTCCCTAATGAGTTCCTGATTTAATTAAATCTGATGATTCCCTAATGAGTTCCTGATTTAAATCTGATGATTCCCTAATGAGTTCCGAATTTAAATATGATGATTCCCTAATGAGTTCCTGATTTAAATTTAATGATTCCCTAATGAGTTCCTGATTTAAATTTAATGATTCCCTAATGAGTTCCTGATTTAATTAAATCTGATGATTCCCTAATGAGTTCCTGATTTAAATCTCATGATTCCCTAATGAGTTCCTGATTTAAATCTCATGATTCCCTAATGAGTTCCTGATTTAATTAAATCTGATGATTCCCTAATGAGTTCCTGATTTAATTAAATCTGATGATTCCCTAATGAGTTCCTGATTTAAATCTGATGATTCCTTAATGAGTTCCTGATTTAAATCTGATGATTTCCTAATGAGTTCCTGATTTAAATCTGATGATTCCTTAATGAGTTCCTGATTTAATTAAATCTGATGATCCCTTAATGAGTTCCTGATTTAAATCTGATGATTCCTTAATGAGTTCCTGATTTAATTAAATCTGATGATCCCTTAATGAGTTCCTGATTTAAATCTGATGATTCCTTAATGAGTTCCTGATTTAAATCTGATGATTCCCTAATGAGTTCCTGATTTAAATCTGATGATTCCCTAATGAGTTCCTGATTTAAATCTGATGATTCCCTAATGAGTTCCTGATTTAAATCTGATGATTCCCTAATGAGTTCCTGATTTAAATCTGATGATTCCCTAATGAGTTCCTGATTTAAATCTGATGATTCCCTAATGAGTTCCTGATTTAAATCTGATGATTCCCTAATGAGTTCCTGATTTAAATCTGATGATTCCCTAATGAGTTCCTGATTTAAATCTGATGATTCCCTAATGAGTTCCTGATTTAAATCTGATGATTCCCTAATGAGTTCCTGATTTAAATCTGATGATTCCCTAATGAGTTCCTGATTTAAATCTGATGATTCCCTAATGAGTTCCTGATTTAAATCTGATGATTCCCTAATGAGTTCCTGATTTAAATCTGATGATTCCCTAATGAGTTCCTGATTTAAATCTGATGATTCCCTAATGAGTTCCTGATTTAAATCTGATGATTCCCTAATGAGTTCCTGATTTAAATCTGATGATTCCCTAATGAGTTCCTGATTTAAATCTGATGATTCCCTAATGAGTTCCTGATTTAAATCTGATGATTCCCTAATGAGTTCCTGATTTAAATCTGATGATTCCCTAATGAGTTCCTGATTTAAATCTGATGATCCCCTAATGAGTTCCTGATTTAAATCTGATGATTCCCTAATGAGTTCCTGATTTAAATCTGATGATTTCCTAATGAGTTCCTGATTTAAATCTGATGATTCCCTAATGAGATCCTGATTTAAATCTGATGATTCCCTAATGAGTTCCTGATTTAAATCTGATGATTTCCTAATGAGTTCTTGATTTAAATCTGATGAGTCCCTAATGAATTCCTGATTTAAATCTGATGATTTCCTAATGAGTTCCTGATTTAAATCTGATGATTCCCTAATGAGTTCCTGATTTAAATCTGATGATCCCCTAATGAGTTCCTGATTTAAATCTGATGATCCCCTAATGAGTTCCTGATGACATAATAATTTCTTAACCTCTTATATTTAAGTATGTTAACAATAGGAATGTTATGAAAATATAATTATGTGTATCTATAAAAGCTAATTCTCTGCAGTGTTCTTTGACATATCACATTAATGTAAAAGGTCATAATAGTTTCACTATACAAACAACCTAAATTAAGTTCATTTACAGATGATATTCTTTACAACCATATTGGAGCCACAGACCTGCAAACATCTGATACAGCACACATCCAAGAGACCATAGATCACTTAGCACATTAGGTTCAGCACCTTGTATCAGCTCTGGGGCCATATATGTCAAAGAACCTAATTGGAAGGACAAATTTAATTAACGAAATGAATAAAAAAACCGGAAAGAATGTGCTAATTTGAAAGATAAACCCAAGTTATTAGACAATAGTTTTTCTGTTAAAAAATGTATATGGCAAACTTCCTTTTGTGTTTTTTCTTTCCTTGTTATATAATATGAGCACAAAACAGATAAAGCAATTAAAAATACAGGCATCTATGAAATTCTACCTTTGACATGTCACAGAATGAAATATATTTGCAACATTTGTTGTAGTTGTAGTGCTAGCATAGAACTAACCTGTCCATTTGTTGTATTTCATCATCTCTTCAACTGTTTGGGTGTTCCATTGTTCCCCAGATTCAGCAAATTTATAAAACAACTCTTCTAGGTTTTCTCCTTCTACCTTAGAAACACTGAAGTCTGCATATTTCAACACTCCAGAAGTATCTAACAAAATCTGGGAATGAAGATATGAAGATATGTGTACATGGGATTTAGTAATACTCTTATAATTAGTTACTATAACAGCCTTGAGTAAATATAATTTAAACTTTAAATTACAATACTTACCTTACTCGGGCGAATGTCGTGGAAAAGAATATTCAAGGAATGAATATAGTGAAGACCGGTCACCAGCTGAACCCCAAAAGAACGTACAGTTGTTTCAGGTAAACTTCCATCTTGAGATATTAAAGTTTCCAGGCTTCCACCAGTGCAGAGCTCAACAACTAACCACAAATGATTGCTTGTTTCATACCATTCATAAAATCGAACAACATTTTCATGTTCTATGTCATGGGTCATGCGAACCTATGAGGAGAATATTGAGTATGATCATCAATTAAATATTTTGCTTGTAGAAAAACACATGACTAAAGATGATGGACCCAACTATGAAAATAAAAAGAGGCAATAAACTTTTGTGAACTCAGTCATTTTTCTCATATTTAGTTAGGTTGAGTTTTAATTACTTGATATTAAAAATTTGAAACAAATAAGTTTTTTAAATTAAAGATCTGGGTCTCTGAAGGTAAAAATGTAAATATTGAACAACCACATAAAAGTTCAGATGATATTTACTCACTGTATTAGTGACTTCTGGTCGTTTAGATTTATCAATACAATGGATAGCCACAAAACTTATTGTCCCTTTACGTCTTCCTTTGTAGATGACAGAGTGATCCCCTTTGGCAAGTTCATCGTACAAAACAAAGTTTTCCATGCTACTTCTGGGAGTGGAGCTATCTTCAGCAATTTAGCTGTATGTAAGTTATTTAAAAAAATTCTGCAGATCCTTTAAATCCTTGCCATTCACTTTGTGCTGTGGTTTCTAAAACCAGTGCTGTAGATGGTCATTCAAGAAGGACTTGAACTAAAATTGAAATGCTATTGCTGATAACAATATCTCATGATTAGTTATTAGTTGAGAAAGCAAGTCTTAGAAGAAGTTAAGTCTTAAAGTTAAATTGGCTGACTTTCTTGGCTTAGTAATTTTTTTGAAATGGTCAGATCATGTGATATTGTTTTGTTGTGTAGTGGCTTGCATTACATTGTTATGTGAGCTCTAAGTGTAATTTTTTCTTTAACTCATGAGTTTAAATCATTCACATAGAACTAGCCATTGGCTTGAAAATACAAGTGTAAAAGGTGCACAGTTTTGTTAGACATTAGGATGAAATTGATTGCTTTAATATTTTGCTAGGCCTTAAGTTATATTTTATGGATAGGCAGTTATTATATTGTCACTATAAGTTCTGTTGCTATATTTTTGTGATAGGATTTTGGCACACGTACATTTATTCTAAATGTCAGTGATGATTAAGTACACATTTTGGACTGTCCTGTATGCAGGCGATTCAGAGTACAGTGACAACAGAAGAGCTATGGGTCACGGCTGAAATCCGTAGGCTCATCCACAGGAGAAACCGCCAATAAAAACGTATGAAGAAAAATGGCTCGATTGAACAGAGAGAGGAGGTACTGAGGCTCCGCCGAACCATTCAACGCTTATTGTGCAGATCATATTGGAACTACATGAACAGCATCTTCTCAGAGGATGACACCCCGACCAAAGATGTCAAGAACAAGCGCTTCTGGACCTTTGTGAAGCACCAAAAGTCCTCTAACGCTGGAGTTTCCCCCCTGAGGTGGGATGGCCAATTGACATCTGACCCAAAAGCACAGGCGGAGATACTCAATCAGCAGTTCCGGTCTGTCTTTGGTGACGGTAGAGAGTACTCTGAGACTGAATTCCTTCTGAAGACCAAAATGATGAACAGAGAGTACCCTGTTATGAGAGATATCAAGATATCAGAGCAGGGTTTGTTTGCCCTCCTCAATACCATTAACCCTTACAAAGCATGTGGTCCTGACAACATCAAACCACAAGTGTTCAAAGAATTAACCAAAGAAATCGCTCCTGCACTGACAATCCTCTTCCAATCGTCACTATGCACAGGAAATGTTCCAGCAGACTGGAGAACAGCGCATGTCACTCCAATCTACAAGAAAGGGGAGCATTCCGACCCTGCCAACTATCATCCGATATCCCTCACCAGCGTGGTCTGCAAACTGTTAGGGCACATAATCGTAAGCACAGTCATGAAGCATCTTGAAAGCCAAAATATACTCAATGACTGTTAACATGGCTTCCGAGTCAATAGATCATGTGAGACCCAGCTTCTTGAATTTGTAGAAGACCTGATGACCAATCTGGAGAACCACAAGCAAACTGAAGTGCTGGTAATGGACTTTGCAAAGGCATTTGACTGTGTGAATCATAGTTTGCTTCACCACAAACTCCAGAGATATGGGATCCAAGGCACCACTAAAACATGGATCTCTAGCTTCCTCAGCCACCGATGCCAGGCGGTAGTGGTGGACGGTACAAGCTCCTCCTTTGTCGATGTGAAGTCAGGGGTCCCCCAGGGATCAGTGCTGGGCCCCTGTTTGTTCCTAACATACATTAATGACCTACCCAAGAAACTGACATCACAAGCAAGACTGTTCGCAGATGACACAGCAGTGTATAGGACGATCGCCAACAGATCAGACCAGGACCAGCTACAACAGGAACTCCATTGGTTAGCTGAGTGGGAGATGAGCTGGGACATGGAATTTCACCCTGCCAAGTGCCAGACAGTATCAGTCTCTAGAAGTTGTACTCCTCTACACTACCAATACGAACTGCATGGCCATATACTTGAGACAGTTTCCTCAGTAAAGTACCTGGGTGTTACCATTCAAAGAGAGGTCCGCTGGGACGAGCATATTAACAATGTATGTAACCAAGCAAACAAGACCCTGGGGTTCTTAAGGCTAAATCTAAAGATTGGCAACTCCTTTGTGAAAGAAAGAGCATATAAAGCCTTTGTCCGTCCGGTTTTAGATTATGCATCTTCAGTCTGGGACCCATTTACCCAGAAGAGCGCTGACAGGTTGGAGGCGGTCCAGCGACGAGCAGCGCGCTTTGTCCTAAACCGCTACAGGAATACCTCTAGTGTTGGCAGTATGCTGGAAACACTAAGCTGGTCACCATTGGAGGAACGATGACGATAATCCAGGCTCTCCATGATGTACAAGATAAATAATGGGCTAGTCCACTGTTCCAGTATTAAACAGAAACTTGTCCCTCTCCCCCATAGACAGCTACGAGGCCATGACAGGCAATTCAGGCTCATACCAGCAAGAAACCAGTATAGGAGCTGCTCATTCCTGCCCAAGACAATCAGGGACTGGAACAAGCTTTCAAAAGGAACGGTTGAGGGGACAACACTAGACACATTTGTGTCTATTGCCTCAAGCATTCAAACCCCCGTGCATGATTCCCTCACAAAGTGGCACTGGAAATCAGTGAAATTTCCTCATCAACACCAGGAACAGAAACATTGCAAATCCCATCTACATGCATAGGAGCCAAAATGATCAATAAATTGATCATGGGCCCTTAAGATATAGAAGAAGAAGATAAAGAAACTTGAGCTTTTTAAATGCCTTGTGGTTAGTTGATTCATCCACCCTTTAGGGGCTAGCAAGGTAGAAGGAATTTTAGACTCTCAAATTGTTTCTGTGGCCTTAACAAAGGGGACCCAAGACCTTGGCACAATTGTGTCCTGCACAATCATCCACAATACAGTAAGTAAAATGAGCAATCATGATTGTGTCTTTCAATGTTTGAAAAACATGTTTGATAAGGTCCGTAAATGATTATTCAGTCAAAAAATATAATTTTGTGGAGAAATTTCACACTTTGAGATTTGGAGGTCATAGGTGGATCAAAGGTGGGTTCTATCTTTCACAAATGGATAGGTTGTAGTGACTGATCAAGTTCCAGGTATGGCTAGAAAGATAGGGGTTAAGTTGACATGAGCAGTCATGAAAAATTATGTAGATGGAGTGATAATATGATAGCATAGGAGTCAAGGTATGTATTATGGGATACCAGCACACTGTCAAAAAGGTACATTGGTTATGAAGGTTTAAAATTAAAGTTAGCTAATCAATTTAAAATTTGTATTCATAAACCTAGCCAAGACATAAGCTACAGAGTTAGATTGATTAGTACAAGTAAGTCTTACAAGAGATTGAAAACACAAATTTAATTGTTAAAAGTATTAGGGTCAACCATAAATAACAGCACGAGTCCAGGATGGGGATGGGGAGGTGTCAGTGGCGTAGCGAGGGGGGTGCGGGGGGTGCGGACCGCACCGGGTTGAAAAATTCCATATTTTCACTGCTCGGTCTAACCAAGATTCATAAAAGGATAACCGATCACACATACATTTTTCACAAATGTAACCAATCCAAATGCGTGCTTTATTAAAAGTTCAAGGTTGATGCGTCAGAAATGAGATGACTCTAAGTTTAGGTCATAAAAACACAGTCATTAATCCACGCCGATTGAAGTGTTCGGTAACTTCCGTAAGTGACAGGCTATATTTATCTAAATTCTTAGCAATAGGGCTTTCCATTGAAACCAAATATGGTGTGGTCGGGCGATTATAAGTATAAGAGTTGGTAAAAAATAAAAACATTAAAAATTGATTTTTACCCATTTATTGGGTTAAAAATTACACTATTTTACACAATTTTCAATCGTTTAATGATTAATTCTTACTTATTTTAAATTTAAGTAAAGAATAGTTTTTTTGAAGACATATATAATATTATATATCGAAACCCAGAAATACTCAAGAATTAATATTTTCCCCGATCGTCACTAGTATCGCCCCTTTACATTTGAGCACGATTGTCATATTCCAACTGCTGGGTTTTACCTGCTAACTTTCTGTATTGCATTTTGGACAGTGCTCTGACCGTTGTTTTTGAACTTACATCAGTAATTATTTTTTTCGAAGTGGCTTTTCGCACCCGGGTATCAGAAGTGAGAGGTTGGGATAAAAAACTATTTAAAATTTTATTTTTGGGTTTCTAAGACAAACTGTGGTATCAATGAAAGATATTTGAATGGACTATATTATGGTTGTAAACGTCTTCAGTTTAACTAATATAAACGACCACAAATGACATCCCAATGGGATTTAGTCTAAAGGGACCTGGGTCCAAATAGCGGCTATGCGTACCATCTATAAAATCAAAAGGACGTGTTTGCCAACTAACAAAACAATGGATATACGGGATGATGCAAAATGGCGAGAAAATACTGCTGTCGTGGATGGTTTATTCACTCATCAGTCAGAAATTGGATTGTTTTTGCAGCAGATTTTTTGCCTTAATGGTACAGAAACAACATCCAAATTTGTTACTGGCTTTGATAAGTGGTGGAAACTGAGCCCAAAATTACACACTCACGAAGCATCGGAAGAGCGCCTACGTTGCCTTGAAAAGTGGAAAGCATTAGCAGCAGGACTTGGAATACACAAAACAATTGATGCCGAAAGTATTGCTGTGATGGACAGGGAAAAGAAAATGTGAAGGTTGCTGGATATCACATTGTTTCTTGCAAAGCAAAATCTGGCATTTCGTAGCCACAACGAAAATGAATCTACACTGAAACTTTCTTGAAATAGTTGAGATGCTATTTAAATATGACCCAGTGCGAAAAGAGCACCAAATGAGACTAAAGAGAAGTACATCTACAGAAAAAGCATCCGCATCTTACCTTTCACCAGAAACCCAAAATGATTTATAAATGTATTTGCAAATCATGTGAAGGATATTCTGATCATGTATATAAAGGCTGTGAGGTATTTTGGAATTATGTTCGAAAGTACACCTGATATATCACACAGTGGGCAGATGTCTGAAGTGATCAGATATGTGAAAATCCACGATGGGAAAGTTGAAGTGAGAGAAGTTTTTCTTGCATGTTCCCGGTTAAGAGGTAAAAAGCTGATGACCTCAGTTCTGACATTCTTACAAATCTAAAACGTGATGGACTAGACATAATGATGTTCAGAGCTCAGGGTTACGATAATGTTCCACAATGTATGGAATCCATGAATGTATGGCAGTGATTGAAGCTCTTTGTAATCCTCTTGAAAATTTGAATACAAGAGTTACAGCACAAGGTCTTTTACATGTTGTCTTTAATTTCACGTTTATCTGCTATCTTAACCTTTGGGCTGATCTACTTGAGAAAGTTAATCTTACACAGCAGTATCTGCAGACTAAAGGCTTTACACTTGACCAAGTGGTGGCAAACCTAGAGGCCTTGAGGATTGTTTCTGAACGAGAAGCGACGTCACTTGGTGGGAAATGCTATTGAAAAGGCACTTTTATAATCAGACCAATATGGAATTTTGGTAGAGAGAAAATTAAGGTTTAAGAAGAGAATGGCAGGAGAAAAAAATTAATAGATGCTGGACTCTTTCTTCGAGAAGAAAACATTAGGGAGATGCTGGAGTATATTGATCACTTTCATTCTGAACTCTAGATCAGATCATCAGCAATCAAAGATATGTTTGGGGCTATTCAACCTAAGAGTCTATTATCAGCAATTGAAGAAGAGTTATTGGAGTCCGTTCTAAAATTAACTCCTTTCTATAACAAGCTATAAGAAGATGAACTTTTAAAAGAAATATCAAGGCTTTGAAGACATCTAAAAGCATCTATTTCACTAAGTCATTGACTGGTCAGTATTTGATGTTTTGAAATTCATAGCTGAATGTTAATTTCTTCCAATACTCTCGCTAAGCCTTTCATTTTTGCTTACAATATGTGTGGATGTGACTTCATGTGAGCGGAGCTTTTCAAAACTAATGCTTATTAAGAAATATTTATGATTTACCATGGGACAGTCTAGGCTTTCTTATGTGGCTCTGCTATCAATTCAAATTGATACAGTGATGGACATTGATTTTGATTAAGTGATTGACAGGTTTGCAGCTTTGAAGACAAGGAAAGTAAAATTTTAACTATAACTTAACGTTGTTACACCTTATACATTGACCTCATGACCTTCAAAATATGTGTTTTTGTTTTTTTAATTTTTATACTGTGGACTTATTTTAACAGTAATAAATTAATCCATGGAAGTTTCAAATTTTTTTTTTTCTTCCATTGAGGGGGGGGGGTTTGACACCATGAGTTTACCGCACCGGGTGACACCAACCCTAGCTACGCCACTGGGAGGTGTTACATATATTTGAAAATGTGTGTTAAAAAGTGTATAATTTTATGGATGGCCCCCCCAAGTCTAAGGCTATAATTAGTTACTTTGGTAAAACAAGGGAGAGTACTATGCCATTTGTATTGGAAATGGGCAGTAAAACCTAAATTTCATTTCTTATCTTTGAGTGCCAAGTCATTAATGAAAAAATGATTTCTGTTTACCCCCTTTTTTCTTTTGCAAGACATCTTCACCTACATTTCTGTATACTTGTTTTGCTTTTTCAATCGACCCAAATTTGTGAAAATCATAGGTACATATAATGCAGCGGTTCTCAACCTGTGGATCGAGACCCCTTTGGGGTCGCATGTTGCATGACCCTTTCCCAGGGTCACCTAAGAGCATCTGAAACACATATACTCATCAGTTATGAAGTAGCATCAAAAAAAATTTTGTGGTTGAGGGTCGCCACGACATATGAAACAGTATTAAAGGGTCGCTGCATTAAGAACCCTCTCAATCCCAAGAACTAAAACTAAGACCATCGGTGAACGCTCCTTCTGCTTCCATGGGCCCACGTTCTGGAACCAGCTCCCCTTCCATATACGTCATAGTGAAACCTCGTCCATTTTCAAAAAGTCCCTTAAAACTCATCTGTTTAGGTCCGCCTATGACCTGTGATGCACCCTCCTTGCCCTACCTAATTTTTTGTTTCGGTTTAATCCTGAAGTGTCAAAGTGTCCTCTTTTTATAGCCATTTTCATTGTTTCTATAGAATAGTAGTTACTATCCTAGTGTCTCATTTGTATTTAATTAGTTTACATGTTTTAATAATTGTAAAGCGCTTAGAGCTTTATGATAAGCGCTATATAATCAACTCGTTCACTGACCCTCACTTTCCTGTCTATCTCTCTGAATTGTTGCTTCCTTACATCCCCACAAGACAACTACGTTCTTCCATTGACAGTAGAACCCTCTCAATCCCAAGAACTAAAACTAAGGCCATCGGTGAACGCTCCTTCTGCTTCCATGGGCCCACGTTCTGGAACCAGCTCCCCTTCCATATACGTCATAGTGAAACCTCGTCCATTTTCAAAAAGTCCCTTAAAACTCATCTGTTTAGGTCCGCCTATGACCTGTGATGCACCCTCCTTGCCCTACCTAATTTTTTGTTTCGGTTTAATCCTGAAGTGTCAAAGTGTCCTCTTTTTATAGCCATTTTCATTGTTTCTATAGAATAGTAGTTACTATCCTAGTGTCTCATTTGTATTTAATTAGTTTACATGTTTTAATAATTGTAAAGCGCTTAGAGCTTTATGATAAGCGCTATATAAAAATGCCTAAATAAATAAATAAATAAGAAGGTTGAGAACCACTCTTATAAGGCAACTTTTCATAAAAAATGTTTGAAGAAAAAAAAACCAATTGTCTTTCATATTAAATCTCATGGTATTATACATTGATGTATATTTTTAAAAATTGGAGGTGGTTCGTGTTCGGCGTTCGTGTTCGGCTTTCGTTATGCTCATACATAAAACCCGCATCATTGTAAGGATTCTCAGCCCAATTTTTACCCAGTTTCCTTTTTAATGGGTGGTAGTGGCAGACACTTATAAAATATTAAATTATTACCATACTTCCATTAAAATATTTGATAACTTGTGTTTTAACTTAGAAGACATTTAAACAATAATATGTTAATTTAATGTTTAAAAACATGGCTGAGTCAATATTATAAATTATCATAATTTGTCATGTGCAAACGTTGTCAATGGCAACCATCATTCAGGCACTTGTATATTGCTGTACTTTATTGTAATATTATTCTCAGTGCTTCATTCATAAGAGTTGGCCATATTTGAGAAAACTTGACATTAAACAAAATCTTTTTATAATTGCATAAAATGTTAAAATTAATTTTTATAAATGAGAAACTTTAATAAAGCATTAGTCCTGAAAATAAAGTTGTATATCAATGAAGAAAGTTGTTCTGTATGACGCATACAGCTGAATTGGGTCACATATTGTAGAGATGTGGTCCATAAAAAAGTAGGAAAAGAGAACTAATATTTTGAAAATTCATAGCTCAAAGACTACTTAAGATAGAAAGTTAATTTTGGTTTCATATTTTGATTTAACGTTTGCACTAAATATAGTACTACTCTTATAATTTTTTGAAATATAAGAACAAGGGATGCCAAACTTGAATTCCTATTGTTGCCAGAAGTAGGATTACAGTGCAGTTCAGTGAAAATTTAGTAATTAATAAGATTTAAATTGTACAAAAGTTTTTTTTTACTGTGATCTGATACCTGTTAAACTTCTATTTGTCTTGTTTTCTGATGAAGCCTCTAAGCTGAAACGTAAAAATCGTTTGTCCTGTTTATGAATTCCAGTTTGGCACACCTTGTTCTTATACTTATATTTCTTTCACACAACTTGAATGCAATCCATCAATTATAATTTTTTGAAATTGTAAATATTTTTAGCCACCAGTATAATAAGTGGCTAAAAAATAAAATTCTTTTTCTTTCCCCTCCCCATTTAACTGACGGGGAATTTAGTGGCGGACGACAATTGCATAAATTATAAATTTACCATATCTTAAATCTTATATAACCATTTTAAGGCCTGAGTGCATAGTAAACAGTAAATATCTATTAATAATTAAGTTAGTTTAGTAATAAATTTTTAGGCTAAAAGGAAAGTAGGATGCCACAACCTCTTTTGAGTGTTTATTAAAGTTGCCGTGAATTATGGTTCAGTTTAGGCTTAGGTCTTAGGACTTTAGGCTTAGGGATACATGTAGGGTTCAGGTTAGGTTTAGGGATACATTTAGGGTTCAGAGTAGTTTTAGGGATACATTTACTTAGATTTATTGATAGAATTAACTGGTCTTGTCAACCAAGATGGTGGCCATGTTGAAAATCATGACATCCTATCTTCCAATTATTATACTTTGATTTTGATAATTAGCCTATAAAAAAATACAACTCATCATATCAAAGTAAGGCTTTGTTTAGGTTGGAATCGCTCAGTGACACTGACAGTCACTTATTAAATGAAGCTATTAATAATAAAATTACTAATAATAATTAATATCAATTATTTATCATTGATCATTTAAAATTCAAATCTTATCTCAATCTCAATTAGGCTAAATTAGGCTACTAAATTTAGTATTTACACTGAACTGCACTGTCATCAATGCCGGAGCAAACTGACTGAATATCACTGGTAAAACCTCATTCAGGTAATTGAGAATATGTTTGTAGTATGTCACTGGTATTGATATGTATTATCATCTTTTGCATATTTAATATTAAAAGCAAACGATCAAAAATTTCTGACCGAAGGAATTTTTGTTGACGCTAGAACTAAACTTTGTGCTTCTAGCAACACCGATTAGTGAAGATTATCATTACAGTTGCCTTTTGTTATGAAAAGTATATTCTAATTAGTAGTATAATTAATTGATTGATAGAACATGTGCCCTTGTGGCTTGCATTAGTTTAATATTGAAAAAACAAACATTTCTGACCCTTGTAATTTTAATTAAAACGTTTTGAACAAGTGAGAGATTTGAAAACGAAGAACCAGGTTGAGAACTTCTCCAGTACCAATTAAAGCTATCAAATTAAGCGCTCAAAAACATTTAGGCTACTAAGTTACTAAGGCTACTACTTTAATTTTTATTTTTAAAATTTTTTTTTAAATATAAAAATCAAATAAATCTTGATTTATTTTTCCGCCTATGTGTTCGATTTCTTCACCTCTTGAGGTTATTAAGTATATTTTAAGTTTTAAAAAAAAAAAAAAAGCTTTGTAAAGGATTGAACACGGTCATGGAAGCTTATTAAATTATTTAATTAGGTACTTTGACACAAAATTTAAATATTGTCCAATTGCCATTTTGAAGGGCTAGCTATAAGCTTTACAACAACACCAATTTCATCTTTCTATCTTTTATAGAAGTGGAGTTATGATTTTTTTAGTGATTTTTAAAACCCTCTTCTTTATCTTTGTATTTAACTGTGAAAACGTGTGACCCACTTTCCAAATTTCTGCCTTATTTTGCTCAAAACTTTTTTATTTGAAAAGATAATGCTAATACATTAGAAATATTCATGAAATAATCTAGTTTTGTTTTTGCAATGTTGAATGGGGTATTTATGAAAAGAAATCCCCCCCCCCCCCCCCCCCCC